CCTACTATTCAAATCATATCCCTAGATTCAAGGTATATCAATAAATCTCCACATTGACTTGAATCTCACTTCTAGAGGCATCATTACAATGCTAGATGAACATACTCCTCCATTCTACCTCAGATTTGCTCATCTTCGGAGAACTACCAGGATGCATCATTACAATGTTAGATGAACAAGTGGCAAACTAGCTTCAAGGCATATCAATAAATCTCCACCTTGACTTGAATTCCACTTCTAGATGCATCGTTACAATGCCGGATGAACAAGTGGCAAACTAGCTCCAAGACATTTCCACCTTGACTTGAATCCCACTTCCAGATGCTTCATTACGATGCCAGATGAACAAGTGGCAAACTAGCTTTAAGGCATTTCCACCTTGATTTAAATCCCACTTCCAGATGCATTGTTACGATACCAGATGAACAAGTGGCAAAATAGTTTCAAGGCATCTCCACCTTGACTTGAATTCAATTACGAAACACACAAAATTGATAATACAATTCACCTGCACTAGACTATATTTGGGATGTTTCAACCCAGACAAGATTCACTAAAAAAAAAAAAAGATGATCCATGGATATAATTAGAGTTACAACTCTAAAAAAATTACCATCCTATTTATTGAGGATATCCAACCCTAATTTATCCTCTTTATCACCACTAATTCATTGATCTAGTATTTATCCATATCTAGAAAACGGTAAGCAATTTTCTAAAAAATTTCCGCTTCTATCAGCACACTAAATTCTCAATACTTCCTCACAATTACATTAAAAATTTTCTTTCAAAATTTTCTTACATTCTTTCTAAAATTTTCATCTCCGGAGCTCAGAATTTTGTTTACTTCTATGTTATACACATTCATCTTTCTTGGCTCAATACCCTTCTTTATTTCTAACTTTATAATTTTCTTTTGGATCCATTTTTCATCTCATTGATTTATTAGCATTTTTTGCTTAATTTGCACAAATTTTTTGTCCATCCTTAGATCTTTTTCGAATCAAAGTTCTGGGCAAATTTTTGAATGAATGGTTCTCTTCTCATGCATACTTTTGGATCACTATTTGGTAATATGTTGAAAAGTAGGCTTTGATACCAACTGTAAGTCCTAAAATTCGATTAAATCTCTCACGGCAAGCAAATGAAAACAACAATAATCAAACAAAACAAATGCAGATGCAAACAAATTTACACATGCAGTTCAACATGTTCAAACAACATACAGACTCTGTAAGCAGAAAACAAGACACATGAAATTGATAACCTAGTTTGGTCACACATAACTTACATCTGCAGTTCCAACTCAGGCAATATCACTCTATATAAAGAATAAATCGAGCTTACAATATGATTGTATATGATACTACCTTTAAGAACACACATATTTTTCTAAGGTTGCTCAACTAGTCATTCATATATCCAATTATGTTTACTTTGTTTTTCTTTTATGAAGTTGATTTTTGCTCACTTTTTCTCTCTATATTTTTTTTCACCCACATGGCTAGATTTCTTCGTTTATATACCATCTCAACAAGATTCCATTTTATAAAATCTCCCCAATTCAAATCTTATCCTGTGTTGGAACTTCGTCAAAATTTGAATTGGACCAATTTGCGTTTGGACCATCTTTTTGAATTTAAGATTATGAACACAAGCCTACGGTTCATGGGCTGTCTAGCCCACCTATAATCATGTCTCGTCCATCTGAAAATATCAACGAAAACAACTGTTGGGGTGCAAAGCCAAGTACCACATTGGAAGATGTGAAAAAAATTGCACAATTTATAAGTTCCAAATGAACTCCACTAGTATGAGGCATTTTGAAGAAAGTCCAAAAACAAATCCATGCAGGCTTAGCCCAAAGCGGCCTCGTGACTGCAAAGCCTCCTTGTGTCGAAAGTCTCCTGACGTTGGGTCGGTCCCGATAGTTGTGATTATCAGGCAGCGGGTTCTGTTGTGATAGGCGGTGTAAGGTAGATAAAGAAGACTTATTTGTTGGTCATTGGTTTAATGAAAGGTTTGTTGAAGTGCAAATCCAAATCCAAATACCACATTGCAAAATGTGAAGAAAATTTCACAATCCCAAATGAACTCCATTAGTATAAGATATTTTGAAGAAAATTAAAAAATAAATCCGTACGAACTAAACCAAAAACGAACCATATCATACTAATATTGAATTAATCCAGTCTCAACAACAACAATAATAAAATTCATTGCCTAACAAGGTCCGAGTGTTTCGAAATAATGGTAACAATGACAAAACCCTAATGTTAACCCTCAATTTCAACATTTTGGCGCGTCACTGACAATAGATTAGAGGTGATTCTATATTTGACTTTACTCACTACTTTCAATGAATTTATCATTACGCGGGATTGTATTATAAATGTTTAACTATACTTCTATTTATTCAACTACTTCGTATTCAATATTATTAATCATTCAACTCAATTTATGACCCCATTTAGATACATCATGTTGGAATTATGGAGTTTTTATTTTCTTTTAATAATAAATATTCACTATACAATGTGAATTTTTTTATTATTTTTTTAAATATTTAATGTAATATTTTTAAAAAAATTATTGTTAAATTATATCAAATTTTAATATAAACAGAAAGTCTGTCTTTTTATTTTTTATTTTTTATTTTTTATTTTTTTAATACCAACAACGGGCACTCAATTCAATTTGTAACATTTTAGTGTGAAGACTCATTCTTTTGTTTGATTTTTTTTTTTTATTTAAATAAAATTTTCACGCGATATAAAATAATTTATTTTTTAATTGAGATTGTGTGAATCGAATAATAAAAAATTAGATTTGAGTAACAAATCAAACAAATCCGAAGTAAATAATAGTTTTTATATTCATTCAGCAATCCTTTTCAAACAAATCTGAAGTAATTCTTTTACAATAGTTACAAATTATTTATAAATAAAATTCAAAAACGTAAAAATGTCCAAAATTCTTATATTCCCTGTGTCCCGCTGCAAGGTTGTTATTGGTTTTTTGGATATTGATCTTTAAATATTAATTATTATATCAAGACATAGTACAAATCGAGAAAAAATACTTCGAATATATTTATTAAGTCTCTTATAACACCAATACAATGATATTTTTAGAGTAAATTATTCAAATATAAAGATATTTTTAATGTCAAGTATAATGACGCAAAAACCAAATGACAATCTTACTACGGGACCGAGGGAATATATTTTACTAATCAATAAAATATAATTATTTTTTAATCTATTATAAAATTTTAAATGAGTAAATTGAGTTGGACAAAGAAAGTATTATTTCTTTAGTTTGTCAAATTAATTTATTAAATTTACTCTATCACTAATTTTATCAAAAGTAAAAGAAATAAAATTATTACTCTTTTCGTCCCATTTAAAATTTTTATTATATCATAATTATTTTCACTAATATACTTTTTAATTACTTACTATTTATATTGTATCTAAAACTCCGTGTCCAACTAAAGTAGACAAATTAGTTGAGGCGGAGGAAGATTAAGTAATTTTTATTCAATATTTATTTAAAACAAAATATTATTCCCTTTGTTTCAATACAATAGTTTTGTTTACCATTTTTGTCAGTCCCAAAACAATAGTCTTATTTCCATAAATACTCATGTCATTGTAAAATTATCCCTACTTATTATTACACAAATTCCACTATTTTTTACACTAATACATTCATAATGACAAATAAGACTTTTACTCATACTTTTTACCAACTATTAATATAATATTAATATTCCATAGTTCTGTATTTGGTACAATTTTTGATAACTAACTAAAATTTAAAAATACCTATCTTATTATTTTTCTTTAATTTCCAAGAAAATTGTTATTTTTCTTAATATGCTATTTTGATCGAAAGAAATGATTATCCTTTTTCAGTCTGCATTCTGGCGAATCACATAATTATGACAAAAGTATTAATTAATTACTTAATTAATAATTAAATTTATATCTTTACTAATTTTGCAAAAAAAAAAAAAAAGTAACATTTAACTATTAAATTCGGCCAGGAATTTACGTATTTTCGGGTAGCGGCTGCGAATTTTTATATTATCCAAAAAAAAAAAAACATTTAACTATTATTCTGAATTCAACCCTTATTTAAAATTAATGTCACTATCTTTATTACGATTTTTTATGATATTTTCTTTAATTTTAATTAAATTTTTAAAAGAACTCGAAACTATTTTTTAATCACTATGTCTAAACACAAATGTTCTAATTTTATTGAAGGTAATATTCTCCGTTCCACTTAATTTGTCTATTTTTTTCACATATATGTCCCACATAAATTTTTTTTTCCTTCTTCTGAAAATATATATTTCATTCGTCATCAAACTGTGTGCTCATTTGACTGAACACGAGTTTTAAGAAAATAAATAATTATTTTTTTACTTTTTGGTAAGAAAAAAATAGAAAAAATAATACTTCATCCGTCCAATCCCATAAATATAGTCTTAATTGTGTTTGGTACGAAATTTAAGAAATATTGATATTATATTGGTAGTGGATAAAAAGTATGGATAAAATATTTTTTTTTGTCCTTGTGAGTGTATTAGTGTAAAAGTAGTGACAATTGTGTAATAAAAATGAAAAAGTAGGGACAATTTTACGATGATATGACTATTATTTTAAAACGGACAAAAATATAACCAAAACTACAATATTAAAAAAGAGAAGTAGCATCTTACACTAAATAGAAATGAAAATAAAATTGACAATTAAAGAAAGTAAAAATAAAATTTAGACAATAAAGACAGTATATTTTAATCTATTTTAAAATTTATAATTTATAATTTTTTTATTTAATTAAAATATTTAATTACCTTATAAATTTGAATATATAATTATTTTTAATAATTTAATGTAACATTTATCATTAGCGCGGCCCGCAAACAGAAACCCAACCCACGTAGCAAATAGAAAATTGCAAATGAGGACGAGCGGAGCAGTAAATCAGCTCTATAAATAGAGGAGGAGGAGCTCCGCAAGTGCGGCAGCTCCGCCGGCACCGCCTTCTCATCCACGCTCATTTATTTTACTATTTCTTAATATTGATTTGTTTTTGTTGATCTCCGATCGCCTCTGGATATGGACATTCGCCGGAGGCCGCCTAAGCCATCGCACCACTCCACGCGCTCTCACATTCCGTTTCCGCCGTCTTCCGCCTCCGGCGCATCTGCTGCATCTACGAAAGCGTGCGACGCGCCACCACAGGTTCTTCCGCTCTACCTCACCAACGGCATTTTCTTCACGCTTTTCTTCTCCGTCGCCTACTTTCTCCTCCACCGTTGGCGATACAAGATCCGGAATTCGATTCCTCTCCACGTCGTCACGGTCTCGGAGCTCGCCGGCGTTATCTCACTGATTGGATCGTTCGTGTACCTTCTAGGATTCTTCGGTATCGATTTCGCGCACTCGTTCGTTTCTAAATCGGAAAGCGACGACGAGAGCCAGCCTTTCGTTATCCCCGAGGATCGGGAGATTGAGCGCTCAATGCCGACGCAGATTGGCTCCGAGTCCAAATCCATGGACGTTACCGATAAAGAGATTGTCGATCGCGTCGTTTCCGGCGAGATTCCGTCGTACTCGCTAGAATCGAAGCTCGACGACTGCTTCCGCGCGGCCAAAATCAGGCGCGAGGCGGTGCAGCGGCTGTCAGGAAGATCTCTGGACGATTTGCCTCTAGAAGGATTCGATTACGAGTCAATTTTGGGGCAATGCTGCGAAATGCCTGTAGGTTACATTCAAATCCCGGTGGGGATAGCTGGTCCGCTGTTGTTGAACGGCCGCGAGTATACGGTGCCTATGGCCACAACGGAAGGATGCTTGGTGGCGAGCACAAACAGAGGCTGCAAGGCAATCCACTCTTCCGGTGGCGCTACTTGCGTTCTTCTTCGCGACGGAATGACCAGAGCTCCGGTTGTGAGGTTCTCGTCGGCGAAAAGAGCGACGGAGTTGAAATTCTTCCTCGAAGATCCTGCCAATTTCGACACCTTGTCTGTCGTTTTCAACAAGTAAATCTCTTCCTTCTTCTCTGTTACTTTCTGTGCTGGTGAAATATGAGCCAATCCGATGCTGATTGATTTTCTGTTAATTGATTATTGATTGTGTGAAAACTGAAAAGTATCTTTCTGCTGTTTACATTGGAAAAGTCGATTCTAGAACAGAAGTCCCGTAAATATGAATTACTTTGTCTACATATTTCTTCATTTCCATTTTCGCGAGTTCATATTCGTAGATTTGTCCACTTAGGAGAAGAATTCGAAACTTTTCCAATTGCTGCGCTTAAGTTCAATGCTTTCTGTATGTTTTTCTACATTGCTAACTGATGGCGATTGCTGGAGTTTGTTTAGTTTGAATATTGTGAGTGACTCAAATTGGGGATTCTGATTTCATACTGATAGATAGCATTTTGGTCATTCTATCTTCTAATCATTTTCTCAGGTCAAGTCGATTCGCACGGCTCCAAAGTATCCGTTGCGCCGTCGCAGGCAAAAATCTCTACATTAGATTTAGTTGTTCCACAGGAGACGCCATGGGTATGAACATGGTTTCTAAAGGTGTTCAGAATGTCTTAGGCTTCCTCCAGACCGATTTCCCCGACATGGAAGTAATCGGCATTTCCGGTGAGCACAAATATAATCGACAAAAACACACAAAACTTCTGCAAGATCTTTTACTTCAAGAATCATTTTCATTCTACTTGGATTGATACTTGGATCTTGTTGCAGGCAATTTCTGCTCGGACAAAAAGCCTGCTGCCGTAAACTGGATCGAGGGTCGCGGAAAGTCAGTCGTCTGCGAGGCTGTCATCACCGGAGACGTCGTGACGAAGGTGTTAAAAACAACAGTTCCCGCCTTAGTCGAGCTCAACATGCTAAAGAATCTCGCCGGCTCCGCCGTCGCCGGCGCTCTTGGCGGCTTCAATGCGCACGCCGCCAACATCGTCTCCGCAATTTTTATCGCCACCGGACAGGACCCGGCGCAGAACATCGAGAGCTCCCATTGTATCACCATGATGGAACCCGTCAACGACGGAAAGGATATCCACATTTCCGTGACCATGCCTTCGATCGAGGTACTTTACAAAATTCCCTTCATGACTATTTATTACAACAACATTTTCTAGAGCTGTTAAATTGAGTTGTTCACGAGTTAAGCCCCACTCGACTCGGTAACAGCTTGGTTAGACTCGTTTATAGTAATAAATGATCTAAACTCAAGCTTGACTCGTTAATAGCTCGATTAGACTCGTTTATAGTAAATAAACGATCTAAGCTCAAGCTCGACTCGGCTTATTAACAACTCGATTAGACTTGTTTATAAAAATAAATGATTTGGGCTCAAGCTTGACTCGACTAACAGATCGATTAGACTCGTTTAAAGTAATAAATGATCTGAGCTCAAGTTCGACTTGGTTTATTAATAGCTCGATTAGACTCGTTTATCGTAATAAATGATCTGAGCTCAAGCTCGACTTGGTTTATTAACAACTCGATTAGACTCGGTTATAGTAATAAATGATCTGAGCACGAGCTTGAGAATCATTATTTTTGTAAACGAGCCGAGCTACCTGGCAGCTCTATTGAGCTCTAATACTCTCTCCGTCCTATGTATTATGGGCCTATTATTGTAGATACGAGAATTTAGGTAAAGTGTGATTAGTAAGCAATTAAGAAGTGTATTAGTAAAAATAATTATCGTATAATAACTAAATAGTTTAATTAAAATTAAAAAAATTATAAAATTTAAAATTTAAAATGAGACTAAAGTGTATAATTATATTTCCAAAAAATGAATGGACAAATTATGTGGGACGGATGAAAATAGAAAATAGGGACAAATTATGTGGGACAGATGAAAATAGAAAATATGGACAAATTATGTGGAACGGAGGGAGTAATATATTTGTATTATTTTGTATATTAATATACTTTCATCCAAATTTATTCTTCTTTTTTTTTTTATCTATATTTATTTTTGTTTTCCTTTTTAGTTACTTTAAAAGAATTTTTTTTTTATTTTACCAACTTTCTTAAAATCCGTGAGAGGTCAAATGGGCATAATTTTTCATAACGGAGGAAGTAATATATATAATTTTATATCGGAACTTACATTTACTAATGAAATTTGAATTTTTTTATTATAATAAATTGTAGATAACATTATGATTATTTAATTTATATATTGAAAAATATATATAAAAATTATAGTCGAACTCAAGCTCGTGCTTGAAATTAAGCCTAACGAGCCGAGTCGAGCTCGCTAAGCTCGTTTAACAGCTCTCACACATTACCCAAATCGTATATAATAATTCATTCGACATCCCGCAGGTTGGAACAGTCGGCGGCGGGACCCAACTAGCATCGCAATCCGCGTGCCTGAACCTCCTTGGCGTAAAGGGTGCTAACAAAGACTCCCCCGGTTCGAACTCGCAGCTCCTGGCCACCATAGTCGGCGGAGCCGTCTTGGCCGGCGAGCTGTCGCTGATGTCCGCCATTTCTTCCGGGCAGCTCGTCAAAAGTCACATGAAATACAACCGGTCGAATCGTGATGTGGCGAATATTTGCTCCTCCTAGAAACATAGACAAGTTAAGGCATTTGATATTTGATAGAAGAAACAAAAGAATGGAAAATGCGCTCGGAAAATCGAGAGATTAGTGCCACGAGGAACTAAACAAGAAACACACCATGCCGGAATATTGTCGGAGGTTTCTGTAGGGCAGTCGGTCCCGACCGGAGCCTCGACTGCGACTAGACAGGTATGTATATGTTGAGTATTGTTAGTGATTCCTTAGAGCCTTGTCTTGTTTTGTGGTTTTTTAAGTTGTCTTTGTCATTGATTTGCTGTTTCCAAAAGTTTTGGCCTTAAAGTTGTTGTTAATGTAATGTTGTTTGTGTTGTTCTTAGCTTGCAATTTGGTCACATGTTGTGTTGTGTTAAAAGTAAGTGTGGTAGTTTTTGTGTGTGTACAGTTTTAAGAAATTTGTTTTAGGTTTTTCTTTTTGGGAGAAATTTATTGATATGTTGAAAGCTGAATAATGTATATCATATTTTTTGTATAGATATAGATATATAGATATATTAAACAATTGGAGGTTATGCAATTATTTGAATAGTTGATTCTATTGCACAGGTTATTATCTAGTATTATTCATTTTTCTGATCTTCATGCAACCACTATAGTCTATAGGTGAGTTGGTAAATTTGTATTGAACTAAATGGTAAAAATCAAAAGGAACATTAATTAATTGAACGTTTGTTGTTATATGTATATCTTTATGATAATACTATGTGCTTAAGACGAGTGTGCTTAATGGTTTCTTCAATGCAATTTAAGTATCTTCTTAAAAAGTATATGCATATATTTATTTAGAATATTATATTTACACTCTCACATTATAAACCTATTTTTTATTTAAATGGTGTAACTCCAGAAAGACCTGGAAACATATGTTATACTTTTATTAATTATTATTATAATAATATGTAACATTTTTAAATAAAAAAAAACACATAAAAATAAATAAACGCGACTACATTAAAAACAAGATGCCTTCATAAAAGTTCGGATCAATGCCCAAAGTTGAGCAATGCAACTGTTTGTTTCCAGTCTTGTTCTAATCTTATCCGAGTAAACAATTATTTTTATTTAAAAGTAATAAAGAAAAGTTCCAAATAAAATGCAAAATGAACATTAAACTCCGAACATATCATTTGCATTAAAAATTTAAATAATAATAACAAAGAAGAGAACAAAAACGAGCAGCAGTGAAAATAATTTAATTGTAATAAATAATTAAAAGCAATAAAAATAATTTATTTTTTATTTTTTTGCATAAAAATAATAATGTGATAAACAAATAGATATATCTATAAAAAAATAGAATATTTTTAAAATAATTATTTTGTAATCGAATTATCCAAAATAAATAAATAAATATATATATATGTGTGTGTGTGTTTGTTGAGTTGAAAGTTCCATATATGTATATTAAATAAGATAAACTAAAATAGTACAATAGAATATTGGACGAAATGAGTAATAAAAAAACAAAAACAAAATCAATAATAACTTTCTTTAGCTTCATAATAAAACAAAATTACTTACTAATAAAAAACACTCCATATCCCTAATCATCCATCATTATTTCCTTCCCTCCCTCCCTACGGGCTACTGTTACTCACTTTGCCCATCTTTATCTTCCCATATCATATAATATTATATTAGAGCATGAATTGAATTAATAACCACACACACACCACCATAACTAACTAATTAATTAATTAATTCACACAAACTCACAAAATGACCTTCTTCTCCAACAATAATAATAATAATAATAATAATAATGACTACTACTACTACTACTACTACAAACTCCCCTCCCTCATAAGCCTTGCCTGCCTAGTACTTGATCCGTCCATCCATCCACATTCGTTCATACATTCATAAATTCCTTTATGCTCTACTCAAAATCTCTAAAACTCTATTTACCTTCTTCACTGATTCTGCTGCTGCTCGATTTTATAATTAATTAATTAATAGCAGCAGTCTACGCATCAGACATCTGCTCAAAGGGCACCCGGATTAAGAGTCGACCATGCAGGCTAAACACCGCAGATGTCTGTATCGGATCAATTCTTGTAGGTAGGCTCACCACCTGCCAACATCACAATGTCACAATTAGCTTAGCATCTTCAATTTATATACATATACATACAAGAAATTGTAAAATCACCTTTCGGAATGGTGTGATCCCCCAAGGATTCTCAACTTGCTCCGGCTGACCAGTTATGACCACCCGTCCAGCAGGGTCTGTTTGAACTCGTACCTGATCCACCATTAATCAAATCAATAACCAAAATCCTAATCCAGAAGAAAAAGATAAAAAATTGAAATAACCAAAAAGTACATTCAAGATACAATAAAAAAATTAAAAAAATATACTCTAAACAATTCCAAGCAAAAAAGATGTAGGTACTGGTTGACATTACGGGTATACAAAACAATACAAAAATAAAGACAGTAAGTATACAAAATTCAGTTGAGGGGGAGTGGATAGCAAATTGCTACAATGATGGGGACTCGGACACAAACTTGCATAAAACGAGAGTTACGAAGAAATCATACAATTACAGAGTGTATTCAACCCTGTTCAAATTCAGTTACAAAAAAATATCCTCAAATCCATATAAATGTGTGGAAAATATTTTATACCCACTTTAATCAGAAGACGAAAGCATGAAAATTATTGCCACTTCTGCTTTCTATTTCTCAAGGGCTAGAAGAATAAAATAGAAATGTAAAGGTATGAAAAATCAAAGGGATTACCAACCTCCTCACGTAAGAGTCCAGGGACTAGAGCGTAAATCTCGTAACAATCTTTCTGCATATATAAAACAAGTTATAGTCAAGTTGCGCGCACATGTGAATTCAGGCAGCCGAGAGATACAATTGAGATTGATTCTGGGTGAAGCTTACATTTTGCATCACGTTAATCTTTACCCAATCAGCTGGGGCGCCAACATCAACAATTTGTGTGTCCAGTCTAACAAACCAAAATGCGATTCATATGTCAGTTGTTAACAAAATTGGAGATGTTAGAAGTAAAGATCATGGATTTAATGAAGCAGTTGTATATATGTATATATTAATACTTGAGGAAGTAGTAGCCTACTAGAAAAAGAAAGCAAACGTACAATGGCTAACATTCTAGCCTATACCTCAATACATTGATACTTGTCAAAATGCAGTCAAAATTTATATATGTAATCCTAGCACAGGTCGATTTAGTTCCTCATTCAAACCCAGATCAAATGCTAAGAACACCTATCATTATTTCAAAAGGAGAAAATTGACAAAAATCGAAAGCAACTAGCATGGGCTTATTTCTGCCTAAGCCACCTTCAGCACAAAACTGAACTTGCATGCTGCATTAAGCCGAACTGAACCAGCAGAAGGGAGTTAAAATAACACAGCAAAAACTTAACTGCCTAGATACTTCAGTTCGAGGAGCTTTATTTGACTGCTGCTCCACTTCATCCGGTCTCTTCTGTTTAAGCGAGCCTAATAAAACAATTGGACCGCCCAAAATAAGCGAAAAATTTATAGATTTATTTTAACAGGTTAAACAAAACTAAATTCACCGACTTAATCTTCATAAACTCTAGCTTACCAATGCTTTTAAGATTTTTCTCACGCCTGGGTGTGTTGTTAGGATTCTTGTCCTATAAAAAAACACACAAAAAGGTGATAGAACGTGTCTGCAAGATGCTAACCGGAAAAACATTTGGCAATATTATTTACAATGTTAATTCCACAAACCTTTATTACAGGTTCACCAACCTCACCAGAACTGAATAGGCGTTGGACGTGCCAACCTTGCATAGCCCGAGTTGCTGAATCTCTTCTAGTTCTTCCTGACACCGATCCCTGATGACCATTTCCCTGTGAAATTATCAAATTATCGATCTTACATTATATGCAGAGTTCTATACTTATTCATATCCTCCCTTTTGAACACATGGATAACCTCTTATTGCATCTCATACGAACATCCAGAAAGAAATTACAGGAACTATAGACTATAGTTAATGCAGCAAGTCAGCAACTAGTAGTTGAATATCCAAATATATCAAATATCAATCAACTTCTATATGGATAACAGAAAATACTGAACGCATTTTTCAACTCAAGCTCTCGCATTGAATTTTGAATCTTTGCACCAAGAGTTAGGGTTGCTACCACCAGCATGGAAATGTTTACTGATACAAATCATACAATAATGTAATAGAAAATACAAATTTAAATATTAAACACCAGGCTTTGTGTCCAGCACTGACGGACAATGGATGCACATAAATAGATAAATAATATTATATCAAGAAACAAAAAAAACAATGGAAAATTTATATTCAGCATTTAATAAAATCTAACACATGATAACACATAGTGGAAACGTACTCACCTCAACATCAGCACTGGTAGCTTCAGGAAACGAGGCTGCTGGGAGTGGGACCTCTCCGCTCTGTGTCTTATGTCTCTCATATTCCAAAAGAGACTGATTCACACAGGAGAAAACTTTATGTTAAGAAAGCATTAAATAGTGACACATAACTGAGACTGCAAATACTATAAACAAACAAATGGCAAACAACCCACAACAACATACTTTCCCATGGCATAACAAATAGCAAGGACAGAACAGATACAACATTTCATCAAACCACTAAAATGATCTCATCTTGAATCCACAAAATCAAAATATATCAGCACAAAATTATTTTGACAGTGTTCATTTTTTTTAAATATATTTATTTGCATCCAAATAAGTTACAAAATTAGCCAAAAGATACTGCAGCAGGAGTTACTGAATTCCAAATTATTCATAGAAACCAAATGAATGTTAAAGTGAGAAAGCTGAAACAGAATTGTCACCTTCTCGTAGAAAATGCGGAATGTCCAAGAAACTGTTGTACAAGTCCTGCACCAATAAAGTGTCAGCACATCCACTGACTCAAAACACAGTCCAATTGGAAACAGTTTGCTGGGGTTATTAGAAGTAGAAGCATAGAAACAATGTGAATGTGGAAAAGAAAAGCCTAAACAAAAGTTCCAATTTTATAGAATACAATGAAACCATATCAAGTACTCATAGATAGCAACTTTGATCTCCTATTTGATCACACCACAAACACACAAACTTTATATGCTTATTAATGATAATTCGATTCAACAATATTGAACATCAAATCCTGAAGACAGATGTTTCCACCTTACAAAATGTGCATATAAATTGAAAAGGAGGTAGTTCAAACAATAATCTCAGATTTTATATTACGTGTCTATTTATCCATGTCCAAAACTGTTCATGGAGTAAAAAAGACTCATCACAGAAAATGAGAATAAAATTACACAAAGTTATCTAGAAAAGAGGGCATACTTTGGTGGATGGAAAGACTCTCCCACTTGCCTCCATAACTTGCATCCAGATACCTATTCAAGGATCCACAAAGGCATAAATACTGGACCAGCTCAAATAAATGTCATTGAAGCATTGCTTAAAATCAATATGATTCCAATATATATTGCATTAAATTAACCCAAAAACACTTATAACAAATATTACACAGAATGCATCAGAGTACTTGCCGTAACCCATAGTAAATACAATATTAGTTACTGCTATTGTACCTTAAGACTTCCTATGATGTGGGAGCAGAGTAGCACTTAGTCTGTCACCTGCTTAAAAGTTTTCTCTCAAGAACAAGCACCTATTTGATTTATGCCACAACAGAGTTTCATAGTCACACATTTTTCAGTCCAAACAAAGATTTTACAGGCAGGAGGTCATTTTGGCCATGGTACTAGGAAATGGAATCCTAAAATGGCACCTTGTATCTCGGCAAAACATAAAGGTATTCATATTACAAATCTTACTAGAATCCTTTCACATTATTCAGTTGCTAAAGTGATATCATTATATATACAGATTCAATACACTTCGCACTAATTTGAAGTTACACATAATCTTGCTGTATGACAAAATTTCACAAACTACTGCTTTAAACATATATTGCATCCTATATCTGCTACCCAGAAGACAGAAGCATGCTGCAGTTTGGGGAGCAGTGCTTATATGACAATGATTGTAATTTTCGGCCCCGAATTCTGTCCATACAATGCAAATTTGTCTAAAAATTTCATATATGACTAATTTTCACATTTTTCAGAGCATAATACACAACATAAAAGGTATGAGGGCAGTAGGGCATACATACCCTGTCATAGCCTCCCAGCCGAATAACAGCTCTCCACAACCTAACAGCCAACAAAGAGAAGAATTAAATTGTCACTCAAGAACAGATTCACAACAAATATCACCACAGGATGTGCTTACTTCAGGCAATTTAGCGGCTTCCCGTAAAATTTGGGTGGTTTGAAATCCAATTGTTTCTCCTTGTGAAAATTTTCAAGATCCTTCATGAAAGCTGCTTGTTCCTCTGGTGTTCCATCATCACTTTCTCCAACCTAAGGATCAAAAGAAATGTTTAAACACTGAGAAACGGAACATTCCATTTGTGACAACATCATAAATTGCATTGATTGTTTTATTATTACAGGAGGCAATGCTGCAGGTGTAAAAGAAGCCTTGACTGTTTCTCCACTGTGATTTTCAGACTTGGCAGGAGAAGCTCTGGCCAGGGAAAGGGGTGTTGCAACTCCATGCCGATTTGCGGGAGGAGGAACTTCACGAACATGTTTACCAACAGTCCCAGCAGGTATCACAGTTCCATCAGGGCCACATCTATAAACAACTGTCTCCCCCACACGTTCTTTCAGATCATGTTTACCTGTTTTCTCCTTATTCAAATCAGTTGCATCTTCCATCTCTTCATCATGTGGAACCACATTTATATTAGCATTCATATTTTGAGGAGCTTCATTAGCAGATAATTCAGTTGAAAGTTGCCTATCTTCAATCGAATCATTCTTAGTATTCATATTTTGAGGGGCTTCATCAGTAGATAGATCAGTTGTGAGTTGACTATTTTCCTTTGGATCACTCTCAGTATTTTGAGGAGCTTCATTGTCAGATAATGCAATGGGAATTTTCTGGTCTACGAATGAATCATTCTCGGCATTTATATTTTCAGAGGCTTTATCACTAGGAAGTTGCTCAGTTTCCTTTGAATTTTTCTCAGCATCAAGGTGGTTCATGATCTTATCCTCTCCTGCAGAACTGTCAGCATTTTCCTCAGGATTTTGATCTTCAACATTTTCATTAGCAGTTTTCATGTTATCGTTACCATCCATGCCATTATCGCTTGACCTTTTTCCTTCCACCTCATCATTAATACCATTCTGTACAACTGCTTCATTTTTGGCATCCATTTGTTTCTCCTCTACCATTCTAGGAGAAGCTTGATCGTCAGTTTTGGTGCTGGTTGGCTCTACAGTCTCACTTTTGGGATTGCAATGCTCACTAATAGATGCATCCATTTCTTCATTGGTCTCGGCCTTAAGGATAGCTTGATCTGTCTCCTCATTCTTAGCTGTAGAAATATCTGCATCTTCATCTATAGATTTATTTACATCTTCACCCCAGTTCTCACTTACAATTGCATTCCCTGCACCAGAAACTTTAGGGGGAACGTTTTCTCCTCCCTTTTCAGGCCCCTGTACATTCTTTCCTGAATCACCAGGAAGCTTTTTGTCATCATCCATTTCCCCATCACTTTTGCTCATCGTGAAATCTGATCATCAACACTAATAACATCAATTATAACCATTTTGAAGAGGCAAAGGTCAAAACACACAAAATCTCGCAGAGAATTTCAAAGAAAATCCACAAGCAAACTCGAAACGGATTAGACAAGATTTACATTGCATACCATCCTTGAAAAACAAACACCATATTTCAATTTCCAATCAAAATAATTAATATAATATCTAGATTTTTCTGTACACACACAAACACACAACTATTTCGCAAGCACGGAAAACTCGAAGATATGCGAAGAAAACGCAACAACAATCCACTTACCTGAAAACAACACGCAGCGGCAGGTTATATGAACTTCGGTGCAATCAAATCGAGGATTTCGCTTCCTGTACTATTTCCTCCAGAGTACAATTAGCCCACAATGTACCAGTGCGCAAAATCCAGCGCCTACGCTGCACAATCCAACGCCAAAACTTAGCCGAATTAAAATCGGAAAACACGAACAGAAAGCAACAAAAATCAAAGACAAATCAAAACCTCCTTCACAAGGAAATCTACCTCCGGCGGTCGGAAAGTAGAAAGAGAAAGCTTCGGGTCGGCAAACGCCGGCGAGAGATTAGAGATCGTCTGTTGTTTCTGTCTGCGGTTTCGTTCAAATAAGCTCACGATGTAACAACATCTACACGCCTCCTGAATTGTCTATTTTGCCCTTACAGAATATCAGAAGCGCAATTACTATCGTGCCCTTGGCAGTTAAAAAGCAATGGTGCAGATATTTTTTGCCGCATGTATTAAATTTCATTTTCCAATTATATAAAAATAATAAATATTCTTCTCTAGTTTTTGGGAAAATAATCAATATATTTTTTTGGATTATTTAATTTTGGAATTGATAATTGTAATCCTTATTTTTCGTATTGGTTTCATAATAAATTTAGTAAAATTGTACTTATAATCCATAAATTAATATTTAAAAAATAAATGGTATAACAAAATATATTTTAGCATTAATTTCTGTAATTTAAAATAAAATTATGCGTGCTATTATTAGGAATAAAAGGTGATTGTAACAATCAAGTGTAGAAAATTTTAGGATACATTTACTTGTGTGAGGATATTATAATTTATTATATTAATCTATATAATTATTTTATTAAATAGAATAAGATAATCTTAAAATTAGTAGTAATCTTGGATGTATTCATGTTATATTTACAATTTTTAGTAGACTAAGATATATGTGTGTTTGGTGTATATCTTTAGTGAACTTAAAATTTGAATAATAAAAATTTTGATTTAAATACACATTAAAAGTTTATTTGATCGTAGTTTGAAATTTATTTAAATAGAACATTGATTCGAACTTCTATTTAAAAATTATTTTGATATAATTTGATATTTTATGAGAAAAAATAATATATTTTTATTGAAATTTGTTGATTGAATTTGGATTAATAAAAAAGTAAATCCTAAAACATTTAAAAAACCAATCTAAATATTTTTATTGTTTGTTTTATATATTATATTATATTATAAATTAAATTTAAATTCTAAATGTAACATTAATACTATTTAAAATTCAAAATTTATTTGATTTTAATTTGAAATTAATTTTAAATGTGAAATTGATTTAAATTTTTGTTGAATTTGTATTTTAATTTGATATTTTATATATAAAAAAATAATATTTATTGAGATGTACAAATTTACAAGATTAAAGATCGTGTAATATTTTTTTTATTTAATTTATATATATATATATTTAGTTTTGATATCCTTAAAATAAAAAATATATATTTAATATAATATTTTATATGAAATTGGTGTTGAAAATCTAAAAGAATATGTATATGAAAAGTTAAATGTATATATATATTTATAAAAATATCCTTAAATAAGTTTATATTTATGTTATAATGTATTAAAATCTTCATGTAATATATATATATTTTTTATATATTTGATTGATAGTCATAAAGTTCACTCTACCACACATCTCTTAGTAGTCATAAGTAGTGGACCAATATTTTTATATACTTCCTCCGTCCACGACAAAGTATTTATTTTTTCATTTTAGTCCGTCAAATAATAAAATATCCATTTATTTTTTTTAAATAACTGTACTATCTACCACATACTAACAAGATTATTTTAATCATTTATATTTTATTTCTACTATATCACAATATAATACTAATATTTTTAAAACTATATGAAAAAACAAATGTATATTTTTTTTTAAGAGGGAGGGAGTATTTGATTGGTGGCTAATAAATTCTCAATCATGGTTTGTATCTGTATTTTTTTATTTTTTTGTGTAAAGAAAATATGAAATGTACTATAATAATCATTAGTGAAAACATCTCAAAAGCTTAACTATTTCTAACTCACCCATTCCATTTATAAATTCAGTAGCAAACAATAACAAAGAACAAATTTCTCAACAAACAGGGTGTGAATAAGGGCATAAGACAAGAATCTTCACAGCTCATTCATTACCCAATATCATGTCATGTAATAAAACAGGCTCAAAGAACATCTTCTCGGACACAAAATTAAATTCCGGACACAAAACGCACATCCAAATCTCTCCAAGTAACAAGACACAAATTAGCCGAGACCGCATACCGGGGGCACTTTCTAGAAGGGGTTGGTCCCCGTGCTGCCCGACATGACCGATAAAATATCGGTCACTGAAGCCATTGCACTCAAAGCTGCTTTAAGCACGTCTTGGGAGCATCCCGGTTTCACTATCGAACGCACCTGAAAGCCCCCGGGCAGGAAACGAGATTTATTACATATGTGTCGTCGTTAGAGAGATACATAAATGGGACAATATGGAAAACTGTATATAACCTTGTCGAGGTGTTCTTGCAGTTGTTTGATCCGTCCCATGTAGTCCTGATCTTCGACGCAGAGTGTTAGCGGCTTTGCCTCTGCGCCGGGGCCTTCGTACTGAAGAGGTCCCGGGTTTCTGTACACGTCGTCCATCAAGAATTTGGCCGCATTTTGCCTCAACAGCCTGGAGACAAACAAATTCAAGATCAGGTTTAACCTTAAGAGCGCCAAAATATAAATCGAAATATTAAAAATGAGAGAGCAGGGTAACAACATACTCATAGGCCTTGCCCTTCAAGTCAACAGCGGCAGGATGCAGCATCGGTTTCCCGATGTTTGAGGCTCCAGGGCCGTGACCGTATCGCCTAACAGTCATCATGGCCTGAGTGTTGGAAACAAAAGCTTTTATTAGTTTAACCTTTTAACAGAATCTTTAGATGTAACTACGAACTGTTAAACGGGTCGAGTAGCTCGCAAGCTATAAACGAACACAGCTTGAGCTCGAAAATTATTACTTTTATAAACGAGCCGAGTTCGAACTCAGCTTGCGGATAGCTCAATTGAGCTATAAAACTTTTTATATCAAAATTTATAGTTATTACTAAAAGTTGAATATTTTATTATAAAAAAATTATGAATAAAATTAAATATATTTAATTTATATATTAAACATATATTGAATATGTATAAAATTGAAGCCGAAGTCGAGCTTAGGTTTGAGCCTAACGAGAACAGCTCCGGTTACTATTTTGGTTCGACTTCTTAACGAGTCGAGCCGAGTCTGTATCGTTAACAAGTTCAAATCAAGCTCGAACAACCGATACTCGAGCTCGCTCGACTCATTTAACAACTCTAAATGTAAAGAATAAGATGGGAGAAGAGGAAGCATACAGTAATCGGAGCGGCGCCGCAGCGCCACTTGTTCACGGGATTCTTCAAGTTGGTTATGGTTGCCATGTAGCCATTCAAACCAGCAGCAAGTATGTGATAGGCAACGTGACCGAGCACCTGTGGTTTATTCACCATGTTAGCTCTGTAAATTTTTTGGCCAAGAAATCCAAAGTTTCATTTAGGAATGAACAAATTGGGGAAATTTCGCAAAATTCACTTACATAGGCATAATCGCAGTCAAATTTTGACGGCAACGAACCTCGAGCTTGATAGCCAAAGAAGTGGCAAATGCCATTGAATTTTTTGCCTTTGTAGGTGCCCTCTTTCTGCAAAGAGACGAAACGAGAAGCATCAGAATAGAAAGAACAGGACAAAGGAATAATGTAGTTCGACTACACAAAATTAGATGTTCATGTAAAGACATTTACCAATCGCTTGTTCATTTCAGTCTCAACGAGATGGGCTAGGAGCTTCTCCGTCTCAATCTGACAGGTTTTGAACAAGAAATATAGATTTGCAGTGTTGAGATTTAAGAATTTAAAAAATAATAATGATAAACAAATAATCCATATGTAAATCAAGCACCTGAGACAGCTGGGCAGAATCATCAGATTCTGGGTGAAGGAGGAGCTACAACATATTTTACCAACATCAAGTAAGTAAAACAACAATGAGGTGAATAATTTTAAAAAATTAAGACAAACAAAGACGTTCGGGTGCACCTGTTTCCTGATGAAAGGTGGAAGGAAATCAAACAACGCAGATGCCCATGGAGACAGTTGAGCAGAAATGTTGTCAGCAGAAACACCTTGCCTAAGCAAACCATGTATTTCCTGGAGGGATACAAAATTTGGATTAGGTGCGGAAAAATCATATATGCATCAAAGTAGGCAATATATAAGACATGCGTTTACTTTTGGAAAAGAGGGATTATGAGTATGCAGTTATCCATACTAATCATTTGAAAAAAGCAAGAACATAAAGCTCGTTACCTGCAAGAGAGCGTACACTTCAGGGATGCTTTCTATAAGCCCCTCAGGCAATAGAATGACACCATGGTATTTATCTGAAAAGGAAACAAAGAAAGAAAACCATGTTAGGAGGAAATGAGTCTCTGCAAAAGCTAATCAATATGGGTGTGTTTGTTTGAAGGATTTTGAAAGATTTGTAGTAGTCACAATTTTTTCTCTCAAAAAATATCAAATTAAACACCTATTTTTTCATTTTTTATATTATACTAAAAATCAATTTTACATTCAAAACATCACATCAATACTTATTTATATCACATCATACAACTATTTCAATATAAATTTTTTACTATTCAGATCCCAACTTAAAATCCAAACCCCCAAACACACACACCCTAAGAGTTCTTTACTATTTCTACCTTTCTCGGCCCTTGCTTGAACCGCATCACATATTTGTTTTGTGATGTCAAATAGTGTGAGTTTGGATGCAGCCACTTCCTCAGCAAGAATCACCTGCAAGAATGGCCAATGTCCCTTAATAGATGGAAAGCAGATAATATGTCTCAAAGCAGAATCTTATAAAAAGAAAACTCCGAGCAAAAGGAGATGTACAAACCATATTGGGATGAGATTGGAGGGTGCATTCCAATGCAACATGAGATGCCTTCCGCCCCATGAGTCGAATAAAATAGTAATACTGCAAGTACAAAGAGAACTACCATGTTAGAGACATTAAATGTGAAAAGGGAAACAAAAAGGTTGAATTTTGCCATGTATCATGTTGATCAAGGAAACAGTGACTTGAGGGATTTTTAATATGAACATATCTCTCGGTAAAAGCCTTCATTTTATATTTTAAAGTAAACCATACCTTCTCTGCTGAGAGCGCATCCGTGCAAACATTACTAATCAGCTGAGAGTTGACCTGAAGGTAAATGAGATTTCCGTCACTATTAGATACAATCTCAATAATATCCAGAGTGTGGCATGGGATGTGCAACAAGAAAATAGAAAAAATTAAAAGGTAAAACAAGCTTATGGTCGCATTACCTTGCATATGGTGTCATAACCCACATTGGTCTCAACAAATTGATTTTTAAGATCCCCATTTAATGTTACAGGAATTCCAACAACCTGCACGATACATTAAAAATATTTTCTTTGTAATGGTTTTTAAAAAATACAAAGATAAAAGGGGAATCAACTGGATCGGTGAAATCCTGAAGGGAATGTATATTTTCATTATAGGAAGTGATACAATTAAGTACAATAAGGTTAATTCAACAATGAAAAATCTGTACCTATTCATATCTATCGTCTAACAAAGAGGGGCTTACCTTTGTGGGGCACTTTCTTTCCGCAAAGGTTTCAGCAAGTTGTGCTGCATCTGTGTTGGACGTCACACCTTCACAATGCAAATATAAAAAAATAGAAATTTCAGGAAATCAAAACCTTTAAGATTGCAGCTTATTACGAACTTAAGGACAACAACAGGAATACCCCCAATAATGACGAGAGCATTGAGCTTCAAAGCAGTGCATGCATTAAAGGCTGCATTCACTTGTTCAATTGTTCTAATTTGATCTTTGGTTCGTCCCAGCAAATCATAGCCACCTTCACAACACAAAAATTGAGAAGTTTAATGCGATCTGTGAATTTATTAATCACATGTGTCAAATATAATATGCAGATGTAAATGTGTACCTTGATTTTTGTAGGTGGCAAGAATCTCATCAGAAATCTCTATAGTTTTCTGAGCAAATAAGCCATCAGAACCACCTAGTGACACATAAACATAAGCATATTAATCATCACAAAAGAAAAGGAAAATGGCATACCCAAAAAATGATAAGGAAACATCATCAACAAATTCAAGAAGCATACCCAAAAATCCAAGCAACACATTTTTGGGGTTGTGAATTTTCAGAGCTTCATGAAGACCCCATATAACATTATGTCCACCAGGTGATTGTCGACCACAGAAAACCACGCCAACCCTGGGATGCGATAAAGACATTTAAGCAAGACAGTTCTTTTTAGTGAAACCTAGTAAATAGCTTCAGGTTGGGATTCCAAGCCATTCTGATATAGCAAATTATAGATTAACTCTCATTTATTCATGAAGCAAAATACTTGAACAGCCAATTACCTAACAGCAGGATGCTCAGTAATTATCTGAGCATCAGGAACCTTGGCAGTTGCCCGGAGGAAGTGTGCCAATGGTTGACCATAGGTATGAGGAAAAGTCCGACTTAAGATGTGGGCGCCTGCAGGATCTGCAGTAGTTGTTGCATCACCAAATTCTACACGAACAGTCGTTCCCTGTCCAATCAAAACAGAAATTACAATGGCAAAAATTGAGAAAATAAAAAACAGCACAGAGAAATTATATTGACAAGAAGTAGAAAGTAAATTCGACAAAGATGCAATTACTAACAAGGCAATGTGAAGGATCAAATATACATAAGAATCAATTGATTGAGTTTAACCAATAGATGAAACCCAAGACACGTACTAAAGTAGCAAATTTCACTCCACAAAAAGATGCGTACCTAACCTTCTATGTTCTAGGAAGCAAGCCTTCAAACGAAATTTTATCTTCCACATAAAATGATTAAAGGGTTTGAAATTTTTTACAGCCAAGCTTTTCATAATTCTCCGATATATAAGTATAGAAAAAAAATAATAATAATAATAAATAAATAAATAATAATAATAATAATAATAATAATAATAATAATAATAATAATAACAACAATAATAATTGAAAGTGATTCTCAAAAACGAGGAACTTGACTACCAAAACCAATAGCCTCGAAAGTTCCAAGAAATGTATGTTCATTCCAATCAACATAGAAACATACTGTCCCATAAAGAGAAAAAAGAAAGAACTCATCCACAAGCAGATCTATCTTCCCAAAACCTAACGTACGAGCAAGTTCCTCAACTACACAAACATAACATCAACCTATAATCATCTCAATCCACGAAACAAAATTCCATTAATCCACAAACACACAGCAGATCTATTTCCCTGGATGTAAATTTACAAACTTAGATTCCTCCGCCGCACAAACACAACTTCACCTCAATCGAAAGAGCATAAACGGATCATAACAATAAAAAACCAACAAATCCACCACAAATCGAGCAATAAACGGATGTCATATCCAAAACAACACATTTTCTACAAATTGATGAAAAATCGAAACCTGCAGGCAGGGCGGAACTTCCGGTTGGTAATGAGAACGAAGCTTCTGCAGATCAGAGAGCTCCCTAGCAATTCCGTAGTCCGAATCCATAGCCGATTTCAACTCCGATCAGAGAAATACAGTCACAAGGCTTGACTCCTTTCCACTCCAACCTCAGACTTCACTGCCGAATGCCAATGAAAAAAATGCGGTAGGTAGGTTAGGATCTACATATATATATATATATATATCACGATACAATATAAAAATGTAATTGTAAGTATATATAATTATTATTATTTTATTTTATTTTATTTTATTATTATTATTTGATGGATGGTAATATGGTATATTGCGAAGCAGCGGTACAACCAAAGAAGCCGGCAGTTTAACCATTTACAGCACATAGTTTTATCTTGAAAATGAAATTTCTAGATTACATATACTTTCGGCTTGATTATTGTCCTTTAATTTCAATTTTTTTATTATTTTATTAATTTTTGTTTCAAATAAAAATATTTTAATTTATTTTAAAAATTCAATAAAATACTATTTAAATAAAATAAAATTAAATTAATTTCAAGTCAATTTTAAAATACAATTAATCAAATAGTTTAGTATCTTTAAATTAAAAAACATTTAAGATCAAACCCTTCGTACTAAACTAATTGATTTATTTTATAAATCTGTAATAGAGTATGTAATATTTATTTTTATTTAAAATTGTTTATATATTCAAATTATTATATAAATCATATTAAATTTTTATATTTTAACTTTTAGAATAATACAGATAATAAAATATTTTAAAACATTTAAGAATTGATAATGAGCTTTTTATTATTTATTTTAATTAACAATAAAAAAAAAACATAAATTTTAATTTAGCTTATTTATTTTTTAACTACAAGTTTATTTGATTTTTGTTGGAATTTTTATTTTAATTTTTATTTAAATAATATTTTAATTTTACTTAAAATTGTTGAAAATTTTTAAAAATATAGAAAATATCAAACCAAACAATCAACATATATTCTCATGCTATTTACTAAACTTATCTACTCTAAGAAAATATTTAAAGTTTATTTTTGCATTTAAACAATTATATTTATATATATTTATGTCTTATTAAATAATTATTTTAATTTGAATTTTTCAAACCCTTACAAATGATTATTAAATAGTACTTTCGTCTCTTCCCACGAATGATTTTATAGTTTTGTTCATTCATATATTATATCATTTTTTTTAAAAATAAAATAAAATTATATTTTAATCATATTTTAAATATTATAATTTATAATTTATTTAATTTTTATTGGACTAGTAAGTTATATAATTTTTTAAATTTTTATTAGACTAATAAGTAATAAGTTATCGTAATCTTAATCTATAATAATATTATTATATTGTAATTAATTTTACTAATAGATTCTTAATTATTTACTTTATTTCACACTTCTCATCCCACATATTATGTCACCTTTTTTTTAAAAGATATTATATATATATTTTTTAAATTTTTTAATTTATAATTTTTTTAAAGTATTTTTAAATTATTTTAACATTAATTTATAATTATTTATATTATATTGTGATTTATTTTACTAATTAATTTTTAATTATTTATTAATCATCATTATCTACAGTAACAATTATACTTTTTATAAATTATCGTGTGTATACTTATACTTTTTATAAATTATAGTGTGTATACTGTACATACGGAGTAGTGTAATCTGTCCCATATAATTTTATCTTTTAAAAATATGATTATATATATTAGCATTCACTTCAGTCCAATATTCACAACAATTCTTACCAACTTCTATATAAGAATTTATTCCATTAATTTATATTCAAATATACATAGCATAGTAAACAATAAAAACAGGTCTGTAATAATTAAATAAATAAATATATATATATATAAATAATTTATTCCAACAAATAGAAGAGATAAACTTAAAAAGTTGTACTAATAAATACCATAAAATTTAGAAATACATATATATGAAGCCCATGATACAGACACAACACAAGCAAGAAGGAAGGCATTCATTAAGTCTAAGTGAAGAACAGAAGAAATCCTCAATACACACACATACCTCAAAAGAAGATCAAATCTTGTTTCATCTTCATCCTTGATCTTGACCCTCTGCATCTCCTGCCCATCATAACAACAGCTCTCTCTCCATCCAATTCCAATTCCAATCCAACTTTATTATTATAACTATTATTATTGTTTCCTTCCTTTCTCCTCTGATCCCGTCGTCGTCGTCTTCCCGACTCTGCGCCTACGCCGTTTCTCAGAACCACGGTCGAGAGGGGGTGCTCGGGAAAGATTACCATTAGCAGGCACATGATGATGCCCACGTGTCCAAGCAGGGAACCCAACAGCAGGGATTCTGCATAATATCCGAAAACTCCATCAATCTTCCACAAACATAAATATGTACAATCCAATGTAAATGAAGCCAAGAAGAATTTCAAGATTATGTGATATTTTTTATGAATAGGTAGGTATCCAACACTAATTTTTTTCCTCCAAAAAATCACATTAAACATCTATTAATATCAAATCATATAATTATTTTAATTCAAATTTTTATTATTGAAAACTCAAACTCCCAAACAAACACACCCATCCGAACAACTAAGTTCGAGCACACCGCCCCACCCCGATAAAGAATTGCACAAACTCGAATCAAACATCTTTATGCCATCCAATAGATTCATCAGATAACTTGTTTCCCTATAAAGGTTGTGTTCTTTCGACGCAAAAACACTCAACAACGTTCCAAAAAAATACTCAATGTGTATCCATTTTACAATTTTCTGTCTCATTCAAAACTTTACATTTCTTATTATAATAAAAAAATCATATACAAATACCAAAAAAGCATAACATTTATAAAAAGATTTATTTCTTTTCTATCTACAGACAAAAATGTCAAAATTATCTAACACATTTCCACTAACAAATAAAATATTATTATTCGATTGGAACAGAGATAATATTATCATCCAACAAATACACATCATTCGACGAATTCAAACCCAAAGCACCATTCTCTGTAACACCATCAAAATTCTCCATATCTATTCACTTATTTTCTCTCTTAAAAAATAAAATCAAATCAAACACTTATTTATTCTTTTATATTTCATTAAACATTAATTTTACATAAAGAACACCATACCAACACATATTTATATAATTTCAAACAATTATTCCAATTCAAAACCCCTAACCAAACTCAAAACACAAGAACAAACACACAATTTTGCATGTTTGGGTTTCCAAATTCCTTTCTTAACAATCATATTTATTCTACATTAACATACTTTTCAAACCTATTATCATCAAGAACACAAACAATCTGATGCAACACAAAATATGAGCACTGAGAAGTATATCCAGTAATGGTAGAAAATCGAAAGATTATCAATGGGAGGTTTGAAATCCTTACCCAAAATGAGCACAGCAGACTCCTGCTTGGCCATGGATGCATCAAATGCCTTGGTGCTATGCAAGGAAAGTCGAAGGGCCTGATTCTCGGCAATGGAGCACTGGAGCAGAATCCCCAGCCTCCTGCATTCTGCTTCATAAAACTTGCTCTTCCGCTCCAGATCCGTCACGTACATCTTCTTCCGTTCTCGAGATCTCACAGCTGCATCTCGATTCCTCATTTGCCTGCAAAAGTCATTTCGGGTTTGTTACCTTGACTCTCTGCACCTTTCATTGAATCAATTTCACTTTAGGAAAGTATCGATCAATTCTACTCCTGACATTGATAATGGATCATGCTTTTGCTTGGTAATTCATTTGAATTTTTATGTTTCATTCGATGCAGGAAAATTGTTCAAGCAAGTAGAAGAAATCAAAAACAGTAGATAGGAGCTTACTGGATCGCAAAATTTGGAATGAAATCACAGGAACAACAACAATCAAATCTCCTTCACTTGAGACACAGTGATGATTGAGCGCATAATCGAACAACTATGAAGCATAATTTTGAGCGGAATTTTTTGGAATAAAATCACACTAGCAACTACAATCAAATCTCCTTCCCTCAAGATTCAGCGATGATTGAACGTAAACATCAAATTGGAAAGGAAAATTTTGAAGTTCAGAAGCAAAGTACCTTTTCCGTTTCTTCGCAGCGGGATCGCCGTCGTCGGTAGGGACATCGTTTTTCTCCTTCGTTTGTTCAACATCTGCGCTACTATCACGCGGCTTATGTTCTTCGTTCTCCTCTACTTCCGTCGCAACCACCGCCGACTCAGGGCTGCTGGAGGTATTCTTAGACCGATCCGATTCCGACTCCGGCGCCGAATCGAGAAGCACGTCCGAGAAAAACGCATCCTCTATGGCAATCTGATCATCCTCCTTTGGATAATCGAACTCGTCGTTCAGAAGATACTCCTCAACGTCGTCGATGGACAAACTGCATCCCCAATCCGTCGTGTTCGAAAAACCGTCGGCGCAGGACTGATTGCATGATTTGAAATTCAGGTCATCCGCTCCATTTTCCAACAGATTCTCCCAATCTATGGCGAGTCCATCTTCCATAACCCAACACTTCGAGATCAAAAAAGGACCAAATAAAACACAAAATCAAATCAAAACTAAAAAGAAAAACAGGAAGAAGAAAACAAACAAACAAAGTTCCAATGGAGAAAATCCAAAGATATTTACAGCTAGAGAGATCTCTAAATTAACAAATAGATGAAGATTATCGAGAATCGAAGTCGACGAGAAGGGTTTAAAGAAGGTGAAATATATGTTGGACTATAGAACAATGCGAGATTCGCGGAAGCTTCACATTTGCTTAGTGAGGAAGAAGAAAGCCCGCGGAGGATCTGCGCCGTTCCTTTTGGGTAGAGTGAATCCACAACCGTAGATCTCATGAACGTGTACTTTTCTGTGTTAGGACACATCATTCGGCCAATCAAAACACAGACTTCATCGAACTGGTGCAGTGCACCCACCGCAGCTAGTGCGACTTCCTTGTGAGTATTTTTATTATTTTTAAAATAATTTAAATACGGATAAAAGGATATCCAAAATACATAATATAAATAAATATTAATTTAATATTTTAAATAATTAATTTTTAATATCATACTTTTTGTCACAAAATAATAAATAAAAATATTTGAGATAAATATAAAAATTAAAAAATAATAATATTAAATTGATAATTAATAATAAAAATATTTTTAAAAAATTAAAATATTTTTATTTTATATAATTATTGTAAATAAGTGAAAATAATTTTATAAAAAAAGATAAAAAATTAGCTATTAGAAAAAAATGAAATTATTATTTTAAAATTGATAAAAATAATATAATAAAATTATTATTTAAAAAAAATATATGCAAAAATTAAAAATATATATTTGATTTAATATTTTTTTAAAAATAATAAAAATTTGATAACACAACCTAAAATAAAGCTGACTCCGATACCCAAATAGCCCATGCTACCAAATAACAATAAAACTAATACCCAAGGGCCTTAAAGTAAGTTCAACACAAACCTACCTATCAATTATCAGGCAAAGGTCACGGATATCAACGCCCATTGCGTGACTCAACTCCATACCTCACTTCAGATTGCGCGATTGGATTGCAAAATTGCAATGGCTTCATCTCTGCCGTCGATCTCGCCGTACTTGTTTCTAAACACTCCGCCGCCGTCGCAGCGGAGATTCCCGGCGGCGGCGTGGGGCGGAGGACGGCGGAAGGCGAAGGCGGTGGTAGCGAGGATGTACAAGGGGACACAGATGAGAGAGCAGCGGCTGACGGAGATGATCGAGGAGAAAGTGAAGGAGGCGGAGCAGGTATGCGGCGAGGACGAGACGTCGGACGAGTGCAAGGTGGCGTGGGATGAGGTGGAGGAGGTCAGCCAGGCCAAGGCGGATCTCCGCCGGAGGATCCATCTGTTGCAGCAGGATCCGCTTGAGTACTTCTGCCAGGACAATCCGGAGACCGACGAGTGCCGGATTTATGAGGATTGATCTCCCGCCGTTGATCTCTCTCCCCGATCGGACGGTTTGGATTTAATTTCGTTGCCATGCTCGTTTGTTGTGTAGGTGTGATGATAGGCTGGATTTCGTTTCCTGCCTTATTTTGTCTTTGTCCGTTATAGGAAAGACCGTGGAATATATATTAAGCATACGTGCTGTGCGTTGTTAAGTTTCATGGTGTTCTTCGGAGTTTGCTCTTATATTTTGGCAAAGGAACAGAGGATTTTCTTAAAAATTGTCCTAAACCAAAGTTTTTTTTGAAAAAACTATGGCTTTATTTCAATTCTTTTTAAAGCCAATTTCTAATATACATTTTATTTTCTCACAAAGATTAACAATTAATATAAAATATTATTTACACAATTATTTATATTTCATATCAAAAATAAAATTTCAAATCAAAATCATACTCCCTGTTCACTAACAATATATATATAAGTAATTAAATAAATTTGCCTGCACTGGTTATTATAAATACTCTTAAACTTACTACACTTGTCTGTAGAGCTGGCAAAAACTGACCCGGACACAACAACCCAACATGACCCAACACAAAATAATTAAGTTTGAGTCAAAAATTTTAATTCGATTATGTATACAGAGGTTGACACGCATCCGACACGATAATAAATGGGTCGGATTAGGATTGAAGCTCTCAACTCGAACCCGACACGACAACCCAATTATAATATATTAATATTGATTAATATATTTATTATATATATAAAATAATCTTAATTTAATAATTACACTCAAACTAATAAAAATTAACACACCACAACAAAAAATTATTTAATTTGAATCAAGAAATTCAACTTAATTATATATACGGGTCAACACGAGTCAATCCGAACTCGACACAATAATAAACGGGTCACGATGATAAACGGATCGAATTATGATTGAATAATTTAACTCATTTAAATATTCAACCCAGCACGAACCCGCCACAAATCGACCAAATGTCAGCTCTACTTGTTTGTGACAAAGAAAGCAAGTATATAATTGTCATACTAACTCCATATTTCAAGAAAAGCAAAATGAACAGATATATATATATATATATATGTATCTTTGAATGTGGTAAATAAGGTTAACCTACATGGTGCTCATTATTAGCACCATAACCTACAAACCCTCCATCATAGAAGCAGAAGATGTTTACTAGTTTCGATCCTTTATGCTGCTGGCTTTGAACAATAGTATAACATTTAGAGTCATTATCTACTTTTTTAGATTCAAATTCGTTATTGAACAGATACTACTCACCCACGAACAAATTCAATTTAAACTTTAATTGCGTACTTTCTCATGGGGAAGTACATTTCTTTCTTCTTCTGCTTCTCCGTCTTCAAAGATGCCTGCAAAACCGGTAGAACACCATGGAATGATTAAGAAGCATGTTTTGGAGTAATAACAAAAACAGCAGCAAGCTTAGCAGGTGTTTGTAGCTGAGAATTAGCTATGGAATAATAGTTCACAAATGTGGAAACCATTTTTCAGTCATCACTAGTTTTTCAAATAAACTAAATCATTCGCCAAATATTATGAATATTGTATCATAAAAATGCAAATAGTTTTATAACTAAAGTATTACTTTTGATTCAAAACTAATGTCCAAGTCATTGAAAAATATTCAAATCTAAACAAACACAACCAAAAATTTGATATTAATCGATTAGAATACCATGGAATTTGTCATTAATAGATTAGAATGTGCAACCAAAATTCTAGCCACTGAACCATATTCTCGGATCAGAGTGGTATGCTTCAACCAAAAACGCAGGTTTGATTAATTTCAATTTTCGAATTCTACTACCACATATTCAATTTCGCAAAAAGAGGATATGAATTGCACGTCGCGTGATCTAAACGAAGCGATGAGAAGTGCATGAACAAGTAATAATACCTGGTGCTTGGTGAGGCGGCGGCGGATGGCTCGCGTCTTCTTAGGGCGGAGATCGAGGGGCAAGTATTTCTTATTCTTGTAAACCTCGCGAAGAGCGGCCTTCTGCTTCTGCGAAATCACGGTCAGAACCTGCGCGATCGACAGCCTCACCACCTTGATTTTAGAAAGCTTGTTCGGAGCGCCGCCGGTCACCTTCGCCACCCGCAGCAACGCCAGCTCCGCCTTCAGATCCTTCAGCTGCGCCAACAGCTCCGCCTTCGTCTTCTGACGAAGCTCGTGCACCTTGATCCGAGCTACGAAACACCAAGCGATCAATCAACAGAAATTAAACAAAAAAAAAAAAAAAAACAATTCCAGAATAAGAAACTCAGAAAATTAACGCTCAATCACGTTCACGTACCCATTCATGCCGTATCTACTCTGCTCCTGCGCGATGCGAACTGGTCTGCCGCATAGGGCGAAAACCCTAGCGATATATTTATATGGATAGATTGGGCCAAATCTTGTTTCAGCTTAATATTTGGGCCCCGACTGGTTTTTTTAAACAACAATTACGGTACATAGAAGTTTTTTTTAAAAAAAAAAAACTTTTATTATACAATTTTAATGTGTTTGATTAAAAATATAATATCTTGTTTTATAAAATATTATTTTAAGTTATTATTTAAACAAAAAGATAAATACAATGCAAAGATTAGAAGCCAAACACACTCTTGGACTTTATAAAGCTATTTAGGTTTTATTATATTTGTTTATTAAGGTTTTTTTATAACAACTTTTAATATATATTTTTGGGAAAAAATCAATTTTGATCCCAATATAACCAAAATTTATGAATTTTTATTTCAATAAAAAAACTCATCAATTTTAGTCATAAATATAAACAATTTCAATAAATTTTGGTGTCATTATAAACAATTTTAATCAATTTTGGTCCCACCGTTAAAAAACTAACGGAAATTACTGACGTGGGCATGACGGAGGTGACGTGGCAGTTGACCTGAAAAATGTTACATGAGTTTTTAATTCGAAAAGAAGATCACTGTGTGACAATTTTATCGACAAAGGAGAGAGGAAATTTAGACCGATAGGAGATGGGCTTCTATTATTGAGCCATTGTTCGTGCTCTTATAATACCTAATACTATCTAGTTTCCGTAACTGACTGACGTATCAACTCGAAATCCACCAATTTCACCAAAAGAATTATTTCATGTTTCCAAATTGTTCAAATAACCTACAAATCCATAAGTAACAATCATTGAAAATACAGAGCACCTCGATCCGCCGTCACAATTCTTACTTAACAGAAATTCTAACATAACCTCTTCAATTTTTTTTAACATAACCTAGAAGATACGAGCGAGAGCTAACCAGACTTGAGTGAACAAGAATGAACAGTGGAACACGGAAGCCATTGAAACGCTCAATGATCGAGTCTAGTCGAGTCACGACCCAGTCACTTCAACTCCAGTCCAGTCAGGCCCGGCCCTGGGGAGGGCCATAGGGGCTCTTGGCCAGGTCCATTCCCTCTAGGGGCCCATAAGGGCCCAATAATATATGTATATATACTCCTATATATTAATATATTATTATTAACTTTTATAGAATATATAAAATAAAATTTTAAAAATAAAAAATTTATTTTATATTTATTTTTAAATAAATTATTTTTATATTAAATTTTAAATTATTTATTTGTATGTTTTAGTGTGATTATTTAATTGTATAGTTTTATATATTTTTGTGAATTATGTAAAATTAAGAAAATATGATAGAGTAATATTTTGTGTGTTCTTATTATTTTTATTTTTATGTCTATATGTTTAAATTTGTATATTTTATTATATTTTTTAGTAATATTTTTAAAAATTTGTGTATTATATAAATATTGAGTTTGTTTCTTTGATTTAAATTTTTTATTTTTTATTATTAGGATTATACATTTATCAAAAAAATATATATTTTTTTTCACAAACATTCCATCAAATATTATTTTAATATAAATTCAAACAAAATTTTTTCCTAAACCAATAGAAAAACCAAACTCTTAGTAAATTTTTTTTTTTTGAAAATTTTTTTTTAAAAATTTTTGATTGTTTATAAAAATATTTTTCAAAAAATATTAAATTAAATTTTTTTTTTATTTTTATATTATACTAAACATATCATATTAATTTTATATTTATATTTTGATCTTTCTCCCTCTTCTCCCAAATCCAGCATTGGCTCGTTTCTTTTCTTCTCCAAATCCAGTTTCATCACGTCGCAGATGCTCTCCTTTTTCTTCTTCCACAAATCCAGTTGTTCTCCTTCCTCTTCTTCCCGAATCCAATTTCATCGCGGCCGACGCTTTTCTTTTTTTTTTTTTTTCTTCTCCAAATCCGATCGCCGACGTTCTCCTTCCTCTTCTTCCCCAAATCCAATTTTATCACCGCCGACGTCCTCCTTCCTCTTCTTCTCTAAGCATAGCGACTGCCGGCCTGCCTCCACCATCCTAGGGTTTGCGGGAGAAGGTTTGCTGATGAGGGAATTGGAATGAAGTTTGGTGATGAGGGAATTGACGAAGGGTTTTTTCAGAAAGCCACTGTGAAAGAATTTTACGCCCATAGTGGAAAACATCATTCGACACGCTGGCTTCGGTTGACACATCGGCGGGAAGGGCTCAATTGAGGCAAGAGCCATTGTTAGTGCTCTAAACACATTTCAATGTTAATATTCAAAAGTATGTAAGTAGTACTATTCAGAAATGATGATCTGTTAACTCATTAAGGAAGAGTTGAAATTGTTTCTTTGAAACAAGAGTTGGTGGTGCGCTTTTGTGTATACTTGTTAATCATTATCTTGTTTGCCATGGAGTCAATGTTTTCTAAGCATAACGTAACTTTACTTGTATTTGCTGAAGCTCAAATATATTTTCTATTTTTCAGGATGAATCCAGTGTCTGTATTAACTCAATCAAACTACTTACGATTGAAGAAACTTCTTATCTGCACATGTGCCCCGGTGGGCGTCCCATTTCCAAATCGTTCTAAGATATGTATGGTACCATTCAACCTATTCTCCAAATGGCATTCTGTCAGAAGTTTTGCAGTGGATACAGTGTTAGGGGATGGCGGTATACAGTTTGAAAGACATGGGACTCCCGGTTTTTTGAATCAAAACAATTCCCAATGGTAAGAGTGTAGTAGGCAACTATTGATCAATGGTTATAGGTACAATACTGTTTTGAGTAATTTTGTAGATTGTGGTGTTAAATTGTAGGACCGCTGCCTATCTTATCAGGATACATATGTATTGTTTCTAGAAGTGCCATCATGTTTCTGCAAGTTAAATGAGCTATTTAAACACCTAATTAGGAACCAATTATAAATTTTAGGAACCAATTATAAATTAAGTGTTGGAAGCATAATCTTTTTCAAATTCAGAACCGGTGCTTAAAGATTTTGTTTACAAAGATTATTGATGCAAAACAGCTAGTAAGCAACCCGATAAGTACTTTTTCTTGCTATAAAGATGTTTTACTTTTCCATTTGCATATGAACAGATCCCAAATTGTTGTTAATTAACTATAGCATAAACTTATCTAGGAACTCAAATGATCTTGAAGGACAGCTTCAGGATTTATTTGATGAAATTATGAATGTGATTAAATTGGGAAAGAAAGATGAAGCAATAGATTTGCTTCAAGCCAATTATGAAGCTGTTAAGGAGTAGGTGGATTCCGGAACTAGAAACGTAGCAGAAGCTGCTGTCCTTGATGTCTTACTCTTGGGCTACATGGCCATCGGAGACTTACAGACTGCCCAGATCGTAATAGATGAGGTAATTTAAATTTTGTACTGCAGTTGGCCATTAACTTTTGTTTGAAGCTCTGGATCACACAAAGTGGTATCCGGTATAAACTTTCAAATGTGTCGCTTTCTGTTGGATGATGGTTTACAGAAACAATTTAATTTGAAAATAGTTTAACCTACTACCTATATTAAGATTTTATTCCCATAGAGAATACTACTAATTCTCACAATAGTAACATGATAGATGATTTTGGGAGGGAACATAAATAGTCTGCAAATTTTGTTTTATCAACTGCGTGATTCATATTTAGATAAGGTTAGTGATTCACCACTCCAAATATCCGTGATGGAGTTCTTTTCAGGGGTGTCTGTTGTTTTTGAAAATTATGCCTCAATTTATCATGTACACTTAAAAACTTTTCATGTTACCCTGAACAATAAATCTTATTCCAGTTGCACAAGATCGTGAATGAGTTAAACGATGACGAAATGCTTGTTGATTCAATACTCATGCATATGGGAAGTATCTATGCTAAGTTGGAAAAGTTCGATTAGTCCATTTGTGTCTACAGAAGATGCCTCCAAATTATGGAAAGAAAATATGGTAGTTGAACTTCAACAGGTAAATGTTGTAAATTCTATTTTCATTGTTCCTAGTATCTCTGTTTATTTAAAGTAGAGAATTCTTAATGTTTTACTGTGTAAATATAAGACTGTTTCTTCTTTTTGGGAAAACCTGTTGATTAAACTATTAGCTGACATGATAATGCCAAATTTGTAATCAGTTTTGTGCTTTTTCCTTTCATATGGTAGGAAGTAAGAGCTCTTTCCTTTGCACGCCATTACTGGGAATGGCAAAAGCTCTAGGAAATAGCAGAAGGGCCCCTGAAGCATTGGAAATATATCAGAAAATTATTAACATATTAGAATCTTGCACATGGAAAAATTTCAGATGCTGAGCACCAATTCAATAGGTTTGTCCACCAAACAGTTGAGATTTGTCACATTATGCCTATATTCATTCTGATGCTTAAGCATCTCCGCCTTTCCTTTTGCGACAGGATTCTAAAGATTTACACAAGAATATATGGACAAAAGGATGGTAGGGTCGGAACAGCAATGTGCTCCTTGGCCGACGTAAAATGTGCAAAAGGTAAAATTTACTTTAATTGAGTTTTTTATGCAAAGCCTTTACTTATATCGACATAATTATCCTTGTGTCGTAGAGTTGAATTTCTGTCGATTGATATCCTTAAAAGGCTTCCCTATAACTTTGAATTATATAATTCATCACATGCCTTCTTTTCTGCTCCAATTCTCAGGGTTTCACTCTATAATATTGATGCATAAATTCTCTGTTTTTCGTCAGGAGATGTGAATGAAGCTATTGACCTGTACAAGAGTGCCCTCCAGATCCTCAAGGATTCAAAAGGTGTGGCTTTCGACGACAAAGATATGGAGAAGATGAGAATAGACTTAGCTGAACTACTTCATGTTGCAGGGAGGTAAAAATATGCCGTCAGCTGGTTTAGTGTTTTCTTCGTTCACCGGACTTCCAGCTAAGATTTATATTTTTCAACTCTTTTTCCTAGGAAGTTTCTTATTAGTTTTTGGGTGTTTATATTGCATTCAGATTCTACGTCGTCTGAAATTATATTTTACACACAAAAAACACATAGACATTGCTCGATGACCACTGGTCGTTAATAGTTGTTCAATAGAAGAAATGTCTAGAATCTAAGTATACATATATTTATGTTGGATTATCATGATATTCGTTACTTGCAGGGGAGAAGAAGGCCGAACCCTGTTGGAAGAATGGTTGTTCATAACTGAGAAATATAAAGGAAAAGGACATCCCAGCTTAGTACCCAATCTTGTAAATCTCGCAACCTCCCATTCGCGCTCCAAGAATTTTGCTGAAGCTGAACGCTTACTGCAAATAGGTCTACAGATAATGATGAAGGCTGCACCCGCTGACGATCCATCTATTACCTTCCCCATGTTACATTTAGCTGTTGCCCTTTGCAATCTACATCGTGACGAAGAAGCAAAAAAACTTGCATTAGATGCTTTGCTCATCCGTGAAAAAGCATTCGGAAAGGAATCTTTACCTGTTGGTAAGAACGCCTATTTTTACATGGTTCACTAAATATGATGGATTACACTTTATTAAACTTTTCGGTTCTTTTTGGTTGCACAAATATTTTCGTATACCAATTTAAGATTTTCTCACACTTCTTTTCTATGAACTGATTAAATAGGAGAGACTCTTGATTATTTGGTGTCCATTCAAACTCGACTAGATGAAGACGACATTGAATTGGTTGAGATGCTCAAGAGGGTTTTGAAAATCCAGGAAATAGCTTTTGGCCATGATAGCAAACAGGTTGTGGAAACTCTGAAGAAACTTGTATATTACCTTGACAAAACGGGAAAGAAAACTGAGAAATATCATCTGGAAAAGGGATTGTCTGCTCTAAGAAACAAGTTCAAACAGCTTTTCATTCAAAGTCGAGTTCCGGAACTTCGACTCGCCTGCCGCAAGATAGCTGTATATCAAGGTACGGTCACTTCAATCCCTACTCAGTATTAAGCTATTTGAGTTCAACTATTTGTTGTTCATAGTATGGATAATACTTATCTCAATCTTTCTGCACAATTGTGTGATAAAAATGTGCTTACTTGACTGTGAGAAAATTCCAAACTTAAATTTTACAAAAGAATATAATCCGAATTCTTTATAGTGATAACATAGATACATCTACGAAAATGAGACTGAGGATGTATTGTCTTTTTTAACTATGTTCATGTGTTTTTGTTTTCATTTTCTTGAAATCTTTAGAGTGATAACATAAACACATCTACAAAAACGAGACTGTCCGTTTGTTTATGTGTCTTTGGTTATATTTTCCCGAATTCTTTATAGTGATAACATAAACACATGTACAAAGTGAGACTCTAGGAAACAACAAAATACTATTAAGATCGCTTACCCTATTACTATTACTATTAATATTTCCATTAGTTACACAGTAAAATTTTCAGTTTTATCGTCTATTTATTGGTTTCAATTATTATTATTAGTGTAATATTTTAAAAAATTAAATGTAATTATGTTTTGCCACGCTGCAAATTGAAAATGATATTTTATGGCGTAGCGCATAACGTGTGCCAATATATTTAAATTTAATTTTTGGCATAATAATATTAGTTATTATTACTTTTTTAATTTTTGGTACTATTTTCGGTGCCAAAATATTATTTTATTTATTTTAATTTTAATTTTAATGTTTGGCACTATTTCCGGTGCCAATACATTGTCGTAATTTTCTGTGTCAACATATTTTATTAATTTTTGGCGCTGTTTTCTGTGCTTCGGTTATAGGAGTAGAAAGTTTATGAGTTATGATATTTCCTTCTTTAATTATTTGTTATTTCAAGTGTTCAACATCGGGATGTGTTAAGCATGAGAAACAAACTAAATTTGAATAGTTTGAAGTACATAAGGTATAATTTTACTAATTACTTTGTAGTTTGAATGTATTGTTAGGTTTTTCTCGTGTATATATGAAAAGAAATTACTGACTAGTTGAATCGCTTGTATGTGTTCCATATGCTATAAAAGAAACATATGCAATACAGTGATATACATTAGCCTTGGCTAATTAGTGCATAATGGAGCATCTCTACGGTAACTTGTATAATAATTAATTTTTTTTATTATTTATAATTGTAATTTTTATAATTGTCTTGTGATAATAATTTTCTATAATTCTAAGTAAACCATGATTGCTTTTTTGTATATTTGTTTTGACATTCCAATAAATGTTTTATAATTGAGACTCAATGGAATACAAAAATAAAGAAAATTTTAGAATACTCATTATGAATAGTGAATTTGTGGAGTGTTTATGTAGAATGAATGAAGACATTTATAAAGGACCCTACCCTAATTTATATGTGTTTTTTCTTGTCATCTACAACCGAGCTCATTCTTTACAGAGCGGTTGACAACTTTTGAAGTGTGGCTTAATCATGGATCTGAACATAAAAGCTATCAAAAAAATTGCCAATTGTACTTCAGGTAGTAACATTCTAGTTGAATACGAGCACTACCTAGGTAGGGTTCCATTATAATTATATTTTTAAAATTCTAGTACTCATGTGTACGTATGTGTGAACATTAATTTGTTGTCCATTAATTATTGAACATATTTTCATAAGGCAAAAAGGTCTAAGTTTTATTTAAAACGTTTAAAATAGTTGTCATGTTGTGCTTAATAATTTTCTCGCGTGTATTTGTTTCGTCCTCCTGAATTATGCGGGCACATTAATTTTTTTTTTTTTTAATTTAATCTCTTACTTCTAGGAGGTATATGTGAAAGCATTGGAAAAAGGGCTTCTCTGGTGCACTATTGCAGTTCGATACAAAGGTATTGATGAAAAAAGCTTCAGCATAACGGCAGATATAAAGGAAAAGACTTCAACGTATCGGTGGATTCAAATTTTAAGGTATCTTGCTTCCATTATTTGAAAAAAGTTGACTTCATATTTGACAAAAATAATGTGGCAATTTCAAGCTAATATTACTCCATCCATCACGCAAAGAATTAGTGCATGTTTTTGCGAAGGAGGGAGTAATATTATTTTGAGCTGGGTCAGGCCATTTTAAAATTCAAGCCCATAAGCCCGGCCTGATTTTGCATTGGGGTTGAAAATCCAAACCAAGGCATGGCCCGGTTTCAAATTATACCGGGCCATGCCAACCCAACCCAGATTTTTAATATCAAATTTTTAAAATAAATTGTGTCTTTTTTTATTAAACAATAAATTATATTAATCTAAATTGATATAATTATGACAAAATATTTTTATTGATAATTAAGAAACTAAATATTAATTAATTATTAATTTTATGTTAAAGTTCATATTATATTAAAAAAATATTTTTACTTACCTTATTTTAAAAATTTGGACCGTGCCTAGCACGTAAAAATTTGCGTAGACCTCGAAACGGTTTGGTTATTCAACCATGCTGGGCTGGCCCGACCTATATAGAGTTTGGATCTAATTTTTAGACCAAAATCTTTATTTTTTCGTGTCGTATATGGATTGGATAGTAGTAGACTCTACATAAACTTTACCTACAAACTAAATACACTAAAAAATAAGTTAGGATAAATGGAAAGCGTAAATTAAAAGAAAAAGTAGGAGATACTCCCTATTATGGGTTCGGTCAATATCCTTCGAGTTCGAAGGATATTCGCGGATCCTCTCGTCTCCCATAAGCTTTACCTACAAAATAAAAACACTTTAAAAACAAGTTAGTATAAAATTTATGAACAAATTTAATGCATGCAAGTCCCGGGATATGCAAGAAAATAAAATAAATGAAAAGCGTAAATTAAAAGAAAAACTAGGAGATACTCCCTATTATTGGATATCCTTCGAGTTCGAAGGATATTCGCGGATCCTCTCGTCTCCCATAAGCTTTACCTACAAAATAAAAACACTTAAAAAACAAGTTAGTATAAAATTTAGGAACAAAATTAATGCATGCAAGTCCCGGGATATGCAAGAAAATAAAATAAATGAAAAGCGTAAATTAAAAGAAAAAGTAGGAGATACTCCCTATTATGGGATATCCTTCGAGTTCGAAGGATATTCGCCGATCTTCTCGTCTCCCATAAACTTTACCTACAAAATAAAAACACTTAAAAAACAAGTTAGTATAAAATTTAGGAACAAAATTAATGCATGCAAGTCCCGGGATATGCAAGAAAATAAAATAAATGGAAAGCGTAATTTAAAAGAAAAAGTAGGAGATACTCTCTATTATGGGATATCCTTCGAGTTTGAAGGATATTCGCCGATCCTCTCGTCTCCCATAAGCTTTACCTACAAAATAAAAACACTTAAAAAACAAGTTAGTATAAAATTTAGGAACAAAATTAATGCATGCAAATCCCGGGATATGCAAGAAAATAAAATTAATGGAAAGCGTAAATTAAAAGAAAAAGTAGGAGATACTCCCTATTATGGGATATCCTTCGAGTTTGAAGGATATTCGCCGATCCTCTCGTCTCCCATAAGCTTTACCTACAAAATAAAAACACTTAAAAAACAAGTTAGTATAAAATTTAGGAACAAAATTAATGCATGCAAGTCCCGGGATATGCAAGAAAATAAAATAAATGGAAAGCGTAAATTAAAAGAAAAAGTAGGAGATACTCCATATTATGGGATATCCTTCGAGTTCGAAGAATATTCGCCGATCCTCTCGTCTCCCATAAGTTTTACCTACAAAATAAAAATATTTAAAATTAATTAGCATGAGAAAGACACACAATTGGAATAAACCAATCAAGATCAATAATAAATTCATAATCAATCATCAAGAATTCAATCGGAAATTAAAGAAACCCTAGAAGAGAAGTGAAATCAAGAACCGAACCAACCTTGTGTTTTGGAGAAGAGAAGAGACTGATCATTGAAGCCATGGATATAGAACAACCTTCCGATCCTTCACACCCTCAAAATCTGAACGCATTCGAAAATGGCCAAAATCTTTCTCCAAGACACCAACCAAGAGATAGTTAGAGATAGAGATAGAGATAGAGATAGAATAGAAATAGAGATAGAGATAGAGATAGAAAGATGATTGTGGGTGGGTTGGGTTCTTGCAATTGTATTTATGCATGTATGTATAATATCTTTTTATATATATATATATATATATATATTGTAAAAAATGACCGTTAGGACAAACAAAAAGAATTTTAATTAATTAATTAATTTGTTTTAACAAATAACCGTTGGAGATTTTAATTAATTAATTAATTAATTGTTTTTATTTTACAAATTATTAAATATTTTTAGTTTTTTATTTTTATATAAAACTTACCATATTTAAAACAAACTTACCATATTTACAAATTTACTATATTTTCAAATTATTAAATATTTTCAGTTTTTTATTTTATATTAAAACTTACCATATTTTAAAAAGAACTTACCATATTTACAAATTTACTATATTTTCAAATTATTAAATATTTTCAATTTTTTATTTTTATATTAAAACTTACCATATTTATAAATTTACTATATTTTCAAATTCTTAAATATTTTCAGTTTTTTATTTTTATATTAAAACTTACCATATTTACAAATTTACTATATTTTTAAATTCTTAAGTAGTTTCAGTTTTTTATTTTTATTTTATAACTTACCATATTTAAAAAAAAAAAAAAAACTTACCATATTTACAAATTCACTATATTTTCAAATTATTAAATAATTTCAGTTTTAAATTTGTATAGCAATGGTTTAACATGATATTTTCTATAAAAATAAAAATAATAATAATAATAATAATAATATATAACAATATAGAAATATATCAATAATTGCCGATTAAGTATCGATCAAAGACAATTTGCAAAATCGATGGGTTGTTATGTTGTAGGAAGTGGAGAAAAGGTTTTCCTTTAATTTGTACTATATTCGATCATTCTATACATATACTTACAAACTCATGATTCTTATACATGTTACTCTTGTTTTTTATTAATTTTAATGAATTCAAAATTTTTCAACAAAAGCAATAAATTCATTGATTTGTAGTTCAAATTAATACTTGTACTATTTAGTCTATATGGTTTTTATTAAAAAAAGAAATATTAATTTTTGTATAAAATATTATTTAAATAAAAAAAAAAATTCAATTTCAGACTATTTTTTGAACGTAGGAAGCATTTTGTAATGATATGTTGATTTTTATTTACAATTAGTCATTATAAATACTTGCAATATATAAAATATACACTTACTGATAGTAAGGTATTAATCAATCATACAAAATATATATTAATATAATATAAATATAACAAATATATTGATAGTACATTACAATATATATTTTAAATTTTTTGAAATAATACAATCGATTTATTATGGTGTTTATATATTTATAATGTCATATTTTGAAAATCTTGCAAAATAACAAATTATAACATCAACTACATATTACAATATTCATTTTGGTATTGTTTGAAATCAGTAAGTACAATTTTTATTAGAAGAAAATTTCATTTTAAAAAACAATATCGAAAATTGTTTCTTTCTCCTATGTGGTGTTTTTCTAATATTTTTTTATCTTTACTATAAATTAATTTTATATTTAAAATATCAAATGGGATTTATTAATATCACACAAAAATATTCAAATTTAAAATTTTTTATTATTAAAAACCTAAATTCAAAACTTAAAATCCAAACAAACACACCATATATAAAATTTTTAAGGGTGTGTTTGTTTGGAGAATTGGATTTAAATTCAACTACTCATCCAATTTTTTCTCCTAAAAAATATCAAATCAAACACCTATTTTTTATTTTTTATATTATACTAAAAATAAATTTTACTTTCAAAACATCACATCAACACCTATTTATATCACATCATACAACTATTCAAATTTAAAATTTTTACTATTCAAATCTCAATCTAAAATCCAAATCCCCAAACAAACACACCCTAAAGTTTATTCTAATTATTTGTTATTGTATTACATATTTAAATATTATATACACACATGTTACAAAAAAAAAATATAAAATATAAATAATAAAAAAAAAGAAGTGAAATAGTGAAAAAAAAAAAAAGGATGGATATTATATAGATACATATGTATATATATATAAGTTCAAACACAAAAAAATTAAAGAAAATAAAATGCAAGTTAATGGGGTGGGGTAGGGAGAGGGGGGAGGCTGCAGCCCCCTTGCCCCTACGCGCGTCCGCCATTTTCCGCAGCCGGAGACGAAGAGGCGGGGCCGGTTCGCCGCTGCCGGAAAAGAAGAAGAAAGAGGAACCATTGCCGTCGCCGGGAAACGTACTGGACCTGCCGCCGCCGGTGATTCATCGTCTCGACCTTGTCGGATCCGACTGGATTCAAAATTGATATCTGGGCAAAAATATATTTTTTCATTAATTTTTCATTTTTATAGTTTTTAGAAACAAATTGTTATCTGATTTTTATAAAATTATAAAAATAAATAATTGATCAATTATTTATTTATTTTATTCAAAAAAATTATAATAATGTTTTACGTTTTTTATTTCTATAAAACTTGCATAACTTAGGTCTTTATTTAGAACCAAATATAAATTTTGGACGAGAGAAGTATTTCGTACAAACTTTACATTATTATATGCGGGTTTTATACAATAAATAAAACATAGAGCATTTTGTGCATTTTTACTAAAACACAATGGGTATTATATAATTTACCCTTAAATATGATTAAAGTATATAATTATATTTAAAAAAATAAATAGATAATTTACATGAGACGGACTAATAATATTTTATGTTAAACTATTATATTTTTTAGTGTATAAATTATATATTATATATTTTGTATAAAACTATATATATTATTTTTTTTAATATAAATCGAAAACCGTATTAAAAAAATTTTTATTAAAAAACATCTAGTGAAAAAATAAATAAAGTTCACGAAAAAATGGATGTAAAGTTTAATTTATCATAATAAATAAAATTCGTGAAAGGATAATTATTTTGTTTAAAATATTAAAAATCCAAAATTTTCAATTAATTTGCAAAACAAATTGGATTTGGAAGATATAAATCCTGGTTGTTTTACCAACCAAACGTAGGATAGATTCAAATCTTAAATACAATAAATCCTATCACATATAAATCCTACCGTAAAATCTCAATTCCATAAAAAAAAATTAAAAAAAAAATTGTGAACCAAACGACTCTTTATATCAATTATGTGTAGGGATGGAGAAATTTACTGAACATACCAAAATACCAACTTATGGTACCGTATCGTGTCAAAAATATCAAAAATTTCGGTACGGTATCGATATGAATTTTCAAAAAGTTCGATATTTCGGTATGATACCGTACCGATATTATTTTTATTAAATAATTTAATTATTAATATAGATAATAATTATTAATTTTTTTAAAAAAAATCATAACAAAAAAATACGTAGACTATTGAAAATTTATTGATTTTTTCATAATATTTTTGTGGTGGAGAATAGTAATATTTATTGATTTTTTTTTAATTATTTTGAAATTTAAAATTATATTTTCGATATATATCGGTATCGTACACCATACCGAAAAGTTCGGTGCGGTACGGTACGGTATGTCATCCCTAATTATGTGGGTATAAATGTTAGCCACATATGTATCTATATCTATCCCGAGGTAATTTCTTCGTTTCTATTATATAGAAATACTTCTAACCTTTAATGTCCACCGAGCTACGTTTTTGTTTTGTTTTTTTTTTTTTTTCTCGATTTCAAATTTATGATCTAGCAAATCTCGCTGGCTATTGAAGCATTTGTTTGATAGTTGGTGCTTATCAACGGCGGATGAACCTGTAAATGTAAGTGAGTTCCGAAAACTTGCTAAGGTTGCGAACTTCTATGCTGGAGGCGCCGAAGATAAGCAAACTCTGCAATAATAGTAAAACCCTCACAATTTTATTTTTTTAATAGTTAAAAACATGACAGAGACAAAATCTGAAAGTGTCTGAAAAAATTTAAACCTTGATTATGTCAGACAGTATATATATTTTTTAGTTGAAATATATTATACACCTATTGAAAATAAATTTAATATTTAGTTTTTTATATGTGATGGATTATAATAATAACTTTATATATTTGTTAATATAAAATATATCAAACCATCATGTAAATATAACTGATTAATATAAAAGTAAAACCCCACCAATTTTATTTTTATAATAATTATTCAATTTATTTATTTTTGTTAATAGTAGAATACTCACAATTTTATTTTTTTAATAGTAAAACCTTGACATAAACAAAATCTGAAAATATTTAAAAATTTAAACCTTAACCGTTTCAGATAGTATATATATATTTTTTAAGTTAAAACGTATCATACACCTGTTGAAAATAAATTTAATATTTAGTTTTTCATATATGAGAGATTATAATAATAAGTTTATATATTTTTTAATATAAAATATATTAAACTATTACGTAAATATAATTGATTAATATAAAAGTAAAAAACTTGCCAATTTTACTTACATAATAATCATTCAATTTTATTTATTTTTGTTAATAGTAAAAACTTCACAATTTTTTTTTTTTTTTTTAATAGTAAAAATCTTACATAGATAAAATTTGAAAGTGCTTGGAAATTTAAATATTGACCTTGTCAGATAGTATATACTTCCTCTGTCCCATTGAAATGTTATCATTTTTTATTTTCGTCCGTCTCAAAATAAGGTTATCATTTCATAATTTAGTAATTGTACTACCTACTTCACGTAATAAATACTCTTTCAACTTACAATATATTACACAAATGTCATTACTTTTATATTACACTACACTAATAGGAGTATTTTTGTCTTTTTTACTACAATCCAATATAATATTAATATTCAAAAATCTACGTGCAAAAAATAAACGACACCCTTGTTGCGAGACGGAGGAAATATATTTTTTTAAGTTGAAACATATCATACACCTAGTGAAAATAAATTTAATACTCCCTCTGTCCCACAAGAAGGGTGGCGTTTGCTTTTTGCACGTAAATTTTTTAATATTAGTATTATATTGGATTGTAGTAAAAAAATAAAAATACCCCTATTAGTATGTTGTAATATAAAAATAATGGCATTTGTGTAATATATTGTAAGTTGAAAGAATATTTATTATGTGAAGTAGGTAGTACAATTACTAAATTAGGAAATAATAACTTTGTTATGGGACGGACGAAAATAGAAAATGGTAACTTTTCAATAGGACGGAGGGAGTATTTAGTTTTTTCATATATGATGGATTATAATAATAATTTTATATATTTTTTAGTATAAAATAAATCAAACCATCACCTAAATATAATTGATTAATATAAAAGTAAAAACTTGACAATTTTATTTATATAATAATCATTCAATTTTATTTATTTTTGTTAATAGTAAAATCCTCACATTTTTATTTATTTTATAGTAAAAACGAGAGAGAAAATATGAAAGTATTTGAAAATTTAAACATCGATCGTGTCAGACTGAATATATTTTTTGTAAGTTGAAATATATTATACATCTATTAAAAATAAATTTAATATTTAGTTTTCCATATACGAGGGATTATAATAATAACTTTATATAAAAAAAAAAAATTAGTATAAAATATATCAAACCATCACGTAAATATAATTGATTAATATAAAAGTAAAAACTTGTCAATTTTATTTATATAATAATCATTCAATTTTATTTATTTTTGTTAATAGTAAAATCTCACAATTTTAGATTTTTAATAGTAAAATCCTGACAGAGACAAAATTTGAAATTGTCTGAAAATTTAAACATTGATCATTTTAGATAGTATATATATATTTTTAAAGTTGAAACATATCATACACTTATTGAAAATAAATTTAATATTTAGTTTTCCATATATGAGTGATTACAATAATAACTTTATATAAATTTCTTTAGTATAAAATATATCAAATCATCACAGAAATATAATTGATTAATATAAAAATAAAACCCTGACAATTTTATTTATATAATAATCATTAAATTTTATTTATTTTTGTTAATAGTAAAATCCTCACAATTTTAGTTATTTAATAATATAAACTTGACGGGGACAAAATTTGGAAGTTTTTGAAAATTTAAATTTTAACCGTGTCAGACAGTAAATATTTTATTTTTTAAAATTGAAACATATTATACACCTATTGAAAATAAATTTAATATTTAATTTTCTATATATAAAGATTATAATAATAGCTTTATATATATTTTTTTAGTATAAAATATATCAAATCATAACGTAAGTAAATATAATTCATTAATATAAAAGTAAAAACCTGACAATTTTATTTATTTTTTTAATAGTAAAAATCTCGCAATTTAATTTTTTTAATAATAAAAACCTGATGAAGACAAATTCTAAAAGTATTTAAAAATTTAAACATTGACCGTGTCTATATACTCCATCCGTCTCATAACAAAGTATTCATTTTTCCATTTAAGTCCATCCATAACAAAGTATCTATTTCTTTTTTCTTTTTTCTTTTTTTTTTTAAGTAATTGTACTATCTACCTAACATTACAAATACCCTTACAACTTACAATATATTACACAAATGTCATTACCTTTATATCACACGTACTAACAAGGTGATTTTAGTCATTTCTACCTTATTCTTACTATATTCCAATATAATAGTAACATTTCTAAAACTACGTACAAAAAGCAAATGAATACTTTTTTTTTTGGACGAAGGAAGTGTATTTTTTAAAGTTGAAATATATCATCCACCTATTAAAAATAAATTTAATATTTAATTTTTCATATACGAGGATTATAATAATAACTTTATATAAACTTTTTAGTATGAAATATATCAAACTATAAGTAAATATAATTGATTAATATAAAAGTAAAAATATGACAATTTTATTTATTTTTTTAATAGTAAAAACCCCATAATTTTATTTTTTAATAGTAAAATCTTGACAGAGACAAAATCTGAAAGTGTTTGAAAATTTAAACCTTAATAGTATCATACAGTATATACATATTTTTAAGTTGAAACATATCATACATCTATTGAAAATAAATTTAATATTTAATTTTTTATATATAAGGGATTATAATAATACCTTTATATATATATTTTTTTAGTATAAAATATATCAAACCGAAGTAAATATAATTGAGTAATATAAAAATATATTTTTTATATACAATATTATTAATGAAGAGTATGACATCTAATTTAAATTTTAAATAGTAAAATTATAAATTTTTTTATTATAATACATAAACTATTTAATTTAATAATGTTTTAAAAATATAAATAAAAATTTATTGAATAAATCTCTACAAAACAAATATAGTTGTATATAATGCCACCGTATAACAAATATATATATTGTTATAGTACTGAAAATTTAATTTAAGTAAAAATTCATATTAATATATTCAAATTAAAAACAATAATTTTAATATAAATATACCAATTTATCATTATACACCTAATACTGAAATATCAAAATAACGCTGAAATATTTTGGTATATATCAAAAATATCAAAATATAAACTATATATGGTTACAACACCTAATTGATGTATAGAATATTTCTATATAACAAAAATTAGAGGTGTATTTGTTTTGTGCTTTGGTTTGAATTTTTTTATGCAAAATATATAAATTATGTAGGTAATATAAAAATAATAACTATATATAGTATATTAATTTTTTTTTTGAAAAAATTTATTAAAAAAATTTGAGTAAAAAAATAAAGATTAGGCATTTTTGATACAATATATTTTTTTTTATATTTTAATAAAATATTAATTTATTTTTTTGCATTATTATATTTAATATTAAAAATATTTATATATTTATATAATTTTTTTTTTATAAATGTCATCATACGGGACAGAGGAAGTGTCCCGTATTTGGATAAATGTGGATATTTTTTTCCATCCTTAATTATTCATATGGATTAAAAAAAATAATAATAATTCTAATAAATTGGGTATATGACGTGGCAAAATAGTTGAGATCCCGCCCAAAGACCCAAACCCGCTTATAGTTGGCGTAATTCAATTTTTGGAGGTTCCCTCGGCGGCTTTATATATAAGAGAAGCGCCACATTCTCCCTTTCCACCGCCCAAGCCCGTTTAACGCATTCCTCACCAATTCTCCCACCCAAACCCTAAACCTAACGCCCGTTCAGGTAACTTTACGTTACTTTGCGCTCTGTTTATCGGTTTCCTTTTCCTTTTGTTTCTGCATTCTATGTTGTTGTTTTGGTTTGGCTTGAGTTTGGAAGTTTGATCGGGGTTTTTTTTTTTTTTTTTTTTTTTTTTTTTTTTTTTTCTCTAGTGCATCGCCATGAGAGGAGGAAAATCCAAGGCTTCTGGTTCGAGTAAGGCTGACAGCAGGTGATGTGGATTTTTAATTTTTATTTATTTTTGTTTTTTGGCTGTTTTGACGGCGTAGATGTGTTTTTTAGGTTTTTGTTGGATGTTTCTGGATTTTTGTTGATTGTTTTATATATTTTTGCGAGTGAATAATATGTAGGTTTTCCGTTGTCTGTTGTAGTTTAGTTTTAAGTTACTCGATTGGATTGTTTGTTGTGTTTGTGCGCGTGTTGAAAGATCTGCGTTTTGGATTTTGTTGATGGATCTGGCAGTTAGCCAACTGCTAGTGTGGTGTTCTGTTTGTCTGTAATTATGTTGGTTATGCTTAGATTTCCGCGTTTTGTAACTACAATTGCTTTTTCTATGTGTTTTGTGATTGCTTAATATTTGCTAAAGTTGATTGTTATATAGTTTGAAATACTTCAACAAAAGGACATCAGAATTCCACTAAGAATGTTTTCGCACACTCAGGCTGTTCTCCATTATCTAATCTATACAAGTATCTAAAGAAGTTTTGATGATGATATTAGGCTTGCTGTGAGGAAACAAACAAAGAAGGAAAAAAAAGCAGCAAAGGATCCGAACAAACCAAAGAGGCCACCAAGTGCCTTTTTTGTCTTCATGTATGTTGTATTTGCAGCCTGAGTTGAAGCTTCTTTCAGCATTTCACTCCTTTCAAGGGCTTGTTATTACTAGGTTTTATTCTCTGTTTCCAAAATTTGTGATGTATTGCTCGTAATTTCAGGGAAGATTTTAGGAAGCAATTCAAGGAAATGTACCCAAACAACAAATCAGTTGCTGCTGTGAGTTGTTTATTCTTTTAAAATTTTCGGTGCTTGTTTACTTTTCAACGCTTTTATGATATCTGTAAGTAATGAACCAAATGTAGGTTGGTAAAGCTGGTGGTGATAAGTGGAAGTCAATGAGTGATGAGGTATCTTACTACGCTTGTGATTTTAGATTTCTGGATCTGTTTTTTTGATCTATTGTCTAATTGTTCTATCATTGACTAAAACTCATGAAATTGATTGTTTTATATCTAGGAAAAGGCTCCATACGTGGCAAAAGCCGAGAAGCGAAAGGAGGAATATGAGCGGAAAATGGAGGCCTACAACAGGAAATTGGTATTCCATTTTGTTATGCAATTCTCAAATTCTGTTTTTGCTTATGTTCAACCTGCAACTCCTAAACAAAACTTAAACAGGCTGGAGAGGGTGATGAAGAGTCTGACAAATCAAAGTCAGAGGTTAATGACGAAGGAGATGATGATGGAGAGGTTTGTTCTTTATATATATAGAATCATCAAATAATGAAATGATTTCAATATGAATCTTCAATCAGCTTTGATGCTGATTTTGAGACGTTTTTTCAATTTTGCGTAGGATGAAGAAGACGACGATTAATTGCCCTGGAATGTGTATTGGGATAAATCTTCTTCTCTAGGATTCTAATGCTCAGCTTATATATGTTATATTCCTTAACATTGATATACTCAATGTAAGGATGATTTTATGAACATGGTGGGTAAGCTTTCCCCTACCCCACCCCTCCCCACCCTTTTGGATCTGCTAAGATAACATCGTAGTTACATAATCTGCAATTAACTGTTTTGATTTTAGATGATGGATACTTTATGATGGTAGATTTGAAACTCAGATCTTTAATATGCATCATCAACTATGATTGTGTTATTTTCATATCATCAAGGTATGTTTTGTCATGTTATGCCCCTAATTTGGTAAATTGCATATATCTGATTGAAGTTTACATTTATGTTGATATACATTTATTTATTTATTTTATGATATGCATGTAATGTGTACAATTCCTTAGGGAAGCTTCAGAGGATATGTTTTATGTGTCAGAGTATATTATGAATGCATGAAGTACGCCATTGGTATCATTTTTCTAATTGTGTTTGGGATTTATTTTCCAAATTCACATCTTGATATTTAATATTTAAAATGATCATTAAATATTTTTATGTAAATATATAATTAAAGGTCGTGTATCTTTCTAAAAAACAAAAAGCATCAAATAGAAGAAAATTTGTTAAATACACTCATGCTAACGTCCACCAATACAATAGGTAGAAAAACACTAAAAATTGACAACCAAGAAGCTAACGCCCACAAATAATACACTATTGTCTCCAATTCCATCCATACAGTGTTATACAATTCCAACTGTCGACGCTAAAAAAACCACCTTCGCGTCTCAACAACGACTCTGCCTATACCACCCAATAACCAATCCTCGCCAACGTACCACCTTTTATTCACAAAGAACAACATTAGGATTGTTCACCCGTCGATCCACACCTACAAAGATAGAGGAATCCGCCCGCCGGCACCGGCAACTCTGGAACCACCAGAAGACGGCATCGAAGAATCGGGAATAAACCAGAGCTTGATCGTCGCGCTCCGCGACACCCGACACACATCCAAACATTCATCGAGGTCTGCGTCGCACGTCAACAGCACCCACTCGGCGTCATCGTCCAAATACTTGAGATGAAACCTCGCCGGATCACCGCCCACCCCGAACCGCCTTGAGATCTCATTCAACAAATCCTTGTACCGCCATTCGCTCTTCATCCGGAACCTAATGTTGTCCTCGCCGCACGTCACTTTGATCCTCGGCAACGGCAACGCATTTGGGTCGACTGGTCTCTCGCCTACCGTGTGATCTTCCGATGGCTTCTCCGGCGAAGACGACATCGACAAATGGCTCTTCGAACTCGGAAGGGGTTTGAAACTTTCATTTTCCGTCACAAAATTTGCGTCTGTCCTCGCCCTCTTCAGCATCGTCTCTGAGAATTTTCCATTGTCCGCCGTTGGATTATCGACAACGCTGAATGAGCTAGACGGCGGCGGCTGTGCCCCGCTCGAGCAACATTGGCTTGAGCCAGAGCTCTGACTACAAGAAGACGACGGCGACGTCGACGCTGCAGCGGTGGCTGCGGCCGGGGGCTTCAAAACTGAGATCTCCGGCGGTGTTACGTCCACCGATTTCTGATTCTTTGAAGTCCTCGATGCATTCGGGGACGTGGCAAGTTCCGGGAAGTTGGAATAGAACGAGTCGAACTGCAGAACACCGGAGGTGCCGTGGACGGAGTCAATCACGCGCTGGATTTTCTGCAATGAGTGGCCGACTTTCTTGATCTTTCTCGACGGCCAACGCTGCACCCCGTGCTGCCGGCATATCCTCTTCAACGTCGTCGGGCAAACTGGAGTAAAAAACGCAAAGTCAATGAACGGTACAACGAAAAATGAAACACAAATAAATCGAAAAGCCGGCGTTCTCACCTCCGAGCTTCTTCGCGGCATCTTTCAGGCTGCCGGCGAAGTGCTGTCGCAGAACCTGCAATGTAATAACCTTATCCGATTTAACGCGTCGTTTCTCGCCAGCTTTGTTCGTGTAGAGTGAACTGCCGTCTCCAGACATCGACAAATCCGTACCAAACGTCAGGTCTCCCCGGACTTCAGAGCGCGGCTTCACTGCAGCTCCGGTTTCCGAATAATTCATCCATCCGTTATAACGGCTCGAACCCGCTGCGGCTGCGGAAACGGGAGCTTCCTGAGTAATAGAATTTTCCGGAACGGCAGATTCTTCCAGCACCTCTTTGTCGGTGACGACTCGTAGTGTACGGCAGACATTCTGTATGACGGCGGACAACGAGGTTAGCATCTTCTTCTGTTCGTCGGGAGAAACGCAGTCAGTCGGCAAGAACAGCTCGAGGACGAAATCCGACGAGCCGGTGCAGACGCTGCGGAGCCGTATGGCGACGGCGGATTTAAGACTGAACATCCGGGCGTAGTGCGAAAGCGGGTACTCAGTCCGGCTGCAAGCGGTGACGTCTGGCGAGAAGCACGGCTGGTTCGTCCGAAACGCTCGACCCACGATGCCCTGATCTTTCAATAGATGATAATCGGAACACGCTTCGTGGAATCCCTGAATTCGGGCGTCGCCGATGTAGCACGCCGCGGCGACCGGAGAAACGCAGTTCTGCAGATTCTCCTCCGAGTGGCGGCAGCCATCTTTGCCTTGTAATACGCACGAGACCCACGTCTGCGCCAGCGGCAACCGGTGGCTCGTCGACGCCGCTCGCAAAACTTCTAGAATCTCCGGCAATGCCGCTTGGTATGACAAGTCGCACATCTGCCATTGAAACGAAAACATGACTTCTAAGCAATCGAATCTAGCAATTGGGACACGATTATTCATTACAAACATATATACCTTAACATTCCGGGAACCCGAAATTTCCGCAGTTCTCAGATCAACAGCCTGCAAGAATCGAAACGAAACGTTCAAACCCAACAACAACGACAAAATCGACAATGCGAGCGTCGGGATCGAATTCAAACCTCGAGAGCTCGGCAGACGGTCTCGAGCTCGGGGCGATATTGCACTTTCTGCGTTGTCAAGACAACCTCGACGACGCCCAAGCAATTACGGCTGCCCTGTTCGAGAATCGGCACGGCGAGAGTCCCCCGAACATCGACCTGCTGAGCGTGGCGAACGCGAGGATACTCGTCTCTCGTAAAGAATCGGACGTCGGGAGTCCACTCCGGGACCTTGCTAGCAAATACCCGTCCCGGTAACCCGACGCCCTCCGTCGAATCCTCCTCTGCCGGAAAGTGGTAATTTACCGAAATCTCCCTGTAATGCCGGAGCCTCGGGCAATTAAGGTCGAGCGAAAATGGCTGGTTGCTCGTCGTCAGCACTCGCTTCCCCTCGCGCGTCACCGGAACCCAAACCTGAATCAAAGCATCCTTATCTCTTGTGCAATCCTTGATGTAACCTAAAGCTTGGATCAATCGATCGACGACGGAAATCGACGCCTCCGGCCCAATCCACCACCGCCGGCTGCTGTGATCGCCGCCGTCGAAGAGGGGCTGCTCCGGCCGACCCGGCGAGGCGGCATCGATCGACGATCTCTGCTGCCTGTCGTCCTTTTCGGGACTATCGCTACCATTTCCGATGAATTCTCCGCTGTTGGATTCGAGAATGGAGGACGGCCAGCCGGGGAAGACCGCTGCCGGATCGAACGGCGAGACGGCGGCGGAGAAATCGGAGCCGTTAGCCTCCAGCCAACAGCCTTCCAATAAGAGCTCATCCATGTAGTCCAAATCCATGAAGCAATCGGTTGAACCAGACGTTGCGAGGATTGTACCCAAAGGTACAACACCTTCCTCCATTGCACAAAAGCTTCACAGAAACCCTAACCCCTAATTTTACTCAGCAGATCCGAAACCTAATAGGACAAACAGTTCATCAAATTCATAGTCAATTCATTAGTGTTATTGAAGAATCTGTAAAGAAAAAAAGTCCAATTGCTACGCTGTTCAGGCAAAAGCATCAAAGAACAGATCCACATATACATACACACACACATATATATATATATATATTCTGTCAAGTTGGGATTCCTGCTTTGACCCAAACACAAATTGAGATTCCGGACAGAGCAGGAAAAAAATCAATAAAAATAAATTAATAAAAATTGGTGGGCTTACATAATTAGAGAATGTTTTTAAATTTGGAGAAAGATTCTTGGGGCAGCCATGGAAGGCAAGGCTGCAGAGCTTGGAATTCTTCACCAAGATTCCAGTGTTTTTTTACCGTAACTAAAAAGAGTTGCGGAGATAATCAGGAAGAAAGAAAGAACAACTTTTGCAGATAAGAGTGTAAAGAATGATCTCATGACCCAATCCAACAGAAACCACATACATAAACAAAAACAAAGGTTTGATTGACCGATGTCGGAGATTTGCAGAAGAGGAAGAAAGAAAGAAAGAAAGATTCTTAAATATCCTGTTTCTCAGTGTGTGTAAATGAAGCAGCAAAGGGTTACCTGTGGTGTGGTGTGTGGAGCAGAAGAATATCATCAACAAAATTTCTTGGTAGGGTCTCAAGTACTAATTCTTGTCCCCAAAATTGTTTGTCAGCTGAAATTTCATCCACAAAGAGAAATATGGGCACAAGGGAGTTCTGTTCTTTTCTTTACCCCTCTCTCTCTCCTCTTTCTCTCTCTCTCTCCTTTTCTGTGTTAGCTGTAATTATCTGTCACAAGAAAACCCTCACAAGTTGATTCGATCGACACAAGGACTTGTTGATATGGAAGAAGGGGGAAGATTCTTCTTCCCAAGTAGGCCCCATCAGTGACGCCACCAAACCCTAGCCCCTCTTTGGGATCCTCGATCAATGGCGGTCAACCCAATCAGCAAAAATCAAATCGATATTCTCGTCGATCAAATGCACAAATGCAAAAGGAAATCAGGAAATCAGGGGAAAAAAGGAACAAGTGGAATTAAAAATCCCCAATTATTGAAACCCTAATTACAAAACCCTAAATCCCCAATTCGAGATTCATTCAAATAATAGTATATGTTGTTGGTGGGTGGGTAGGAGTTTGGGGTGGGGCTAGGGTTTCGTCATACCATACTTAGATGCTTTCCTCCATGGCTCGACCTTCCCCCGAATTGTTTATAGTTTTAATACGCTGACGTCGTAGCAGCAATCCATCCACTTTCTTCAATCCCTACCCTACACCCACCCTCCTGGTGCGTGTGGCGCTGTAATCCACGATGCGGCTGAGATTCATCCTCCGCCATGGACGGCCACGATCGGAGTTGACGGGATCTGAAGAAGAATCCACTTGCAGATTCAAAACAAAACTATATTTAATTCGTAAATCTCTCCTTGTAATTTCCCCCCTCGCCAGAACGATGCGAGTGCGCCCACATCAACTCCCATTGGAATTTGCGCAATTAATTGAAAAAACAAACAAAAAAACACGAACAGCAACAGCAAGAAGAGCGATTAAATTAATGGCGATTTCTGACAGCTTTCTGGGATTTTGTGGCTTTCATTGATTTCGTCAATTCTATTTATTTATTTATATATATATTTTTTTTGCTGAGCTCTGCTGCTTTGCATTTTATTTAATTTGTTTATTGATAGAGTCGTGTTTTGGATAAGGACGAAGGGAAGAGTCGTGAGAAGGGAAAAAGCGCTAGCGAATGAAAACGCGACTTTAGTAAGTAGTGCTGGTGGAGCGTGCACGCACGTTTTCTAGGATGCGCGTGACGGATAAAGTAATTTGTTTATTGCTTAGTTGATAGAAATAATTAATTAAAAGACAGCATAATAATTGAGTGTTTGTTAACTAAATAAATATTCAATGCTAGAATTATTTAATTCATTTATTAGAATATTCTACCCGTGATGATGCAATTATTATTTTAGTATATTTTTAATTATAATATTTTTTTAATGTGACGTCATTATTAAAAAATTAGTTTGATTATGTTGTACATTTGTTTCTAGTTTAAGAATTAATATTTAAGGATGTATTTTTAGTTTTGATTTCTAATTACTATATTGCTTTTAATTTTCTATAATTTTTAATAAAATATACATTCAATCTAGCAAAAGAACACACTTTAAAACCTCCACGTATATTTACATTTTTAATAAAATATTTTCACTGGTATCACAAATATAATTAAAAGGGAAAAAATTATTTTTGTCCTAATATAACTAAAATTCATCAATTTTGGTCTAAATTTAAAATTTTTATCAATTTTGGTCCCAATATAACCAAAACTTATCATTTTTTGTCTCAATGTAAATTTTTTATCAATTTTAGTCCAAATATAACCAAAACTTATCATTTTTTGTCCAAATATAATCAAATTTTATCTTTTTTTGTCCCACCGTCAACAAACCGATGGAAAATATTGACGTGGACTTGCAAGATTGTGCAATTTCTTCAAATATAAATATAAGGTTTGGTTTCTTTTCACGTTAGCATTTTCTGTCGGTTTGTTGACGGTGAGACAAAAAAAATAAGATTTGATTATATTGAGATCAGAAATGATGAGTTTTTGTTATATTGAGACTAATATTGAGACAAAAAATGATGAGTTTTGGTTATATTGGGACCAAAATCGGTAAGATTTTTATATTTGGACCAAAATTGATGAATTTTTGTTATATTGAGACTAAAAATAATTTTTTTCCTAATTAAAATTATTATTTTCTCTATCTCCCATTTGAAAGATGGTTTTTTGAGTTTTACAATAGACTTAAAAAATAATATTATTTTATTAATTAATTGAAGTGTGTATGAGATTTTAATATTTTTATTTTATGGATTTTATCTAAATAGTAATTGCATTTATAATGATATATTTGTAATTTAAATAAAAATTAAGAATATTTTGGTATTATTGTTATGTTACTTTTACTAAAAAAATAAAAAAAATTATTTTTTAGTAAAATAAATAAAAATAGTAAAACTAATACTTTGAACAGTCACATAGAGAATATATGTTATTATGTTTTAATAATATTATTAATATTAATAAAAAAATAGATTATTATTAATAATATATAAAAAATAATAGTAATATAATATTATTTTGTATATTTACATTTTTAAAATAAAAAATAATTATTTTAATTGAATTGAATTTTAATTAATTGGATATTGATAGCATTTTAAATTTTAGATAGTAAATACTAGTTCATCTAATTTTGGATAATTATACAATTTTAAGTTTTAAGCAGGGGTATTATAATTTTTTTAATGATAACACAATTATTAACTTTTACTCTCTTCTCTTCGCCTCATTTCGAATGACCATTTTGAATTTTGTAGTAAATTAACAAATAATACTTCCTTTATCCCACAATTATAATCTGGGTTGTATTTGATACGAGATTTAAGGGCGGATAAAAAGTACGGGTAAAAGATTTTTTTTGCCCTTGTGAGTGTATTAGTGTAAAAAGTAGTGGCAATTGTGTAATAATAATGAAAAAATAAAGGTAATTTTATAGTGATATGATTATTTATGGAAATGAGACTATTGTTTTGGGATGGACAAAAATAGTAAACATGACTATTGTATTGGGACGGAGGGAGTATAATTTTACTGGTTAATAAAAATGTGTAAGATGAACTATATATTATGTGTATGTCTTTTAAATAAGCATCCGACTATTTTTTACACGTAATTTTTTTTAATATGAATATAATATTGATATGTAATACAAATTAAATAAAAATAATAAAAATATTTTTATTATTATTGTATGAAATAAAAATAATGACATGTGCATAATAAATATATGTAAATTGTAAAAGTATTATTACTATTATATAGATAGGCCGATAGTATAACTACAAAAATAAAAAATAAAATAAAATAAATACTTTATTAAAGAACGGATCTAAACAAAAAACTAGATAATTTGTTAAGGAAAAAAAAAAATATAGTATATATATATATGTTATGTGTATTTATATCATGTGTATATAATACAATGTCTGGCAGATAGTTTATAAATATTGTTTTGTACTATTCTTTTTTAATAATTATATTTTGTGTATAATTATATTTATATTTACTAATATTAATCGGGAATAGTATGAAACAAAATGATTGGTGAATAAAACCCTTGTTTCTGTATTTTCGTAGATCTAATATTCATTATATTCCAATACAATAGTCTTATTTACTATTTTTGTTTGTCCCAAAGTAATAGTCTTATTTTCATAAATAATCATATCATTATATAATTACCTTAATTTTTTCATTATTATTACACAATTGTCACTACTTTTTACATTAATACACTCACAATGTCAAAAATGTCTTTTAGCTATACTTTTTACCCACTATCAATATAATATTAATATTCTTTAAATCTCACGCCCAACACAACCAAAACTATAGTTCCAAGTCGGATTGAGTGTATCTTTAAAAAAAAAATACTATAATTTTAAAACAAAAGGTAAAAAATAAGATTAAAAAAAAAAAAAACAAAAAAACATATGTATAAAATTAAGGGGTTGTGCTCGCGCCTCGGACCTTGATTTTGGGATCTAGACATCTAAGTAACGTGTTTAGATATATTTATTATCTTTAAATATATTTTGAAAATATTTGAATTCATGAGTAAGAGAGTGGGTCAATTTTCTTAAATTTAAATTTATTTATTTTTATTATATAATCATTACAAATTTTACAAAAATATAAAGTTTCTTTCTTTAATAGCTAAATTTTACCTTTTCTTCTAGGACGATATTTTTATAAAATATTTCATCGTATATTATTTTAATATTAAATTCAAATAATAAAAAAACATACATTATTTTTTATAACTATTATATTTAAATTACTAATGAAATTAAAATTAAAATAATAAAATAAACTAAAATCCGCCGCGTATTTACATAAAGTAGTACTTCCTCCGTCCCATGTAATATGAGTGTATTACTAAATACACGAGAATTTAGGTAAAGTATAATTAGTAATTAAAAAAAATAATTATTATTTAATAAAAATAATTATAGATTAAGATTAAGATAACTAAATAGTTTAATTAAGATTAAAAAAAATTAAATTTTAAAATTTAAAATATGATTAATGTGTATAATTAATTTTCAAAAAAAGAAAATGACAAATTATGTGGAACGAACGAAAATAGAAAATATGAACAAATTATATGGGACGGGGGGAGTAATAAAGATGATATAAAGTGTATAATTAATTTATAATGGAGTAATAATATTATTATTGCAAATCAAATCAAACTAATATTGAGAGTTTGTCCTTATAAATGTTTGCTTTTGTTGCGTTCGACAAAAAAAATAACGTGTAGGAATTCGTTCTGCAGTTTTGTCTCCATGTTAATTCTATTACTCCTTCTATACATAAATTTTATTTTATTTTATTTTATTTATTTTATTTTATTATTTTTTTTAAAAAAAAAGAAGAAAAAGAAGAAGTATTGTGTTCATTTTACTATTCTAGGTTGTTATTACAATTATGATCATATATTTGAGAAAAGTATTAAATCATTCTGTAATCTTTTATGAATTGTTTTTCACTTATTTAAATTTGGTTTGCTCACGTAGGGGTGTGTTTGTATTTGAAATAGTATATATATATATATATATATTTTTATGTGAGGTTGTTATCTGTCAATCTGTTATTGTTAAAATTCATCGATGATGGCTTAATGATTTCGGCCCGTCAAAATCGATAAAAATTGGATTCTTCGACCTACTCAAGAAAGTATCCAGGCTAAGTCTTGCAATAAAAATCGACATGCAGACAAATTCTGATGATGCAAAACGCGATTAACAAATTCGAACCTGATTTCATTGAATGAAATCGAACACAAATAGACTATACGAATGATAAATACAGCAAACACTAAAGCTGAAAATTACATGATACTCTATCCGTTCAAGAACTATATTTTGGGTTGTGTTTGACACGAGATTTAAGGAATATTGATATTATATTGATAGCGGGAAAAATGTATGGGTAAAAAACTTTTTTGCCATTGTGAGTATATTAGTGTAAAAAGTAGTGACAATTGTGTAATAATAATGAAAAAATAAGGATAGTTTTATAGTGATATGATTATTTATGAAAATAAAACTATTGTTTTGGAGCGGACAAAAAATAGTAAACAAGACTATTGTATTAGAACGGAGAGAGTATTAAATTGGAGATATAAAATATCAAGATGCACCAATGATAACACAAGATAAAACAATAACAAAAAAGAAACGGATCGGGTCTTAGAAGAAATAAAAGTATAGAAAAGCAAGAATGCACTAAAATAGAGAAAGAAAAATAAAAATAAATAAGAAAAGATTTAAAAATGGTATGCTCTTCTCAATCTTTTGTCTCATTTAAAAACTTTGAATTTATTTTGTTACTCAATTCTTTCACTCCTCTACGATTGTAGGGGTTCAGTTACCTTACCTCAATGTAGTGTATTTTTTTTATACCGGCTAATCACCATCCGTCATGTTTATTTAATTTTTTTATTTTATTAATTTTTTTTGTTTTAAAAGTACAAATGGCCCGACATAGGGGGAGAAATCATATATCGGGGATAGAGTAACTGAACCGAATTTTACGAACCAACTTTCCACTTCTTTCACTGCTCAATCTCACTTATTTCTTAACTTTCCGACTTCCTCCAATATTTATCTGTTCAAATTAGATTTGTCTTTATCCGAAGCAGATTTGTGGGCTAATTCAACTCTCATTTATGGTGGCCTCCAAGCTAAACTGGACTTCTTCGTGAGCTAGCCTGTCGATCTTCATCGGACCTGAAAATTAGATAGTAACAAATGGAGGGCATTTTTTACTACCAATTCCGTGACTGTTGCAATTTTTACTGTTTAAGTCGGCAAGCCGTTGGCAATATACAAATACAACGTGCATTCTGTCTTGATAGTAATGTTTGATTGTGTAATATTATTATTATTAATATTATTATTATCGGAATAATAATATTACGTATAAATCATGAGTGGATGCAGGCCACCTGACTGCGTGTGAGTACATCGAATTTGTACTAGCAAGTGGGTAAGTAATATTACTTGTGTGGGTTTTTACCTAAAATTTTTTAATACTTCGTCTCAAAAGAGTTGTCTTATTTTTTATTTTTTTTATTTATCTCAAAATAATTGTTCTGTTCCTTATTTAGTAACCGTGTCCAATAAATTATTCTTACTTTTCCACAATTATATTTAATTATTACTCAAACCTATTTTTTTAAATCATTAAAAAAAAAGAGGTAACTTAGGATTTTACATTCTACTTTATATTCACTTTTAATTAAATATATTATTATTCATTAATTGTCATGCCAATTTCCAACAAGATATATTTTATGGGACGGATGAAGTATACTTTTTAAAAAATAATACTACCTCCGTCCCATATCTATCTGTCCATTTATTTTTTTCATGAGAATTTTAAAAATATTAATATTATATTGAGATATAATAGAGATAAAAGTAAATAAACTAAATTAACTTTGTTATGGGACAATAAAATTACTAAAACTCAAATGAATACTTTATTATGGGACATACCAAAGTGAAAAAACAGATAAATTGTTAAGAGACCGATGAACTATAGTAAATATATTTTTTATTTTTATGTTATTTACGTAATTTTTTATATTTATCTTTTTAAACCAAAATATAAAACAAACACATCCATCACACCTAATATAATAAGTATTTTTCGTGTATTTTTTGTATTGATTTGAAGAAATTTTTATTATGTTAAATATAAAAACTTATGTCAGACATTATAAATTTAATAAATACATGCAAGTGTATTAGTCTGTCTTAAGAAATATATTGGGAAAATTTTCACAAAATAAACAAACCCTTCCGTGTATCTACAGAACGTATGTTTATTTGAGCTAAAAATACATTTTAGTAAGTATAGAATTATATTAATTTATTATATTATTAATTAAAAATAATTTAAAAAAGTATACAATGAAATTAATAAAATAAGATATATATATTTTTAATAAATTCATAATGTAAGTATAGTGATATATTTGTAAATAAATATAATATTAAATTATATAAATTAAGAAGTACTAAAATTATTTTCTATAAATAAAAATTTAGTAACAGGATGAAGTAACTTATAATATACTACTTCGAATTTGTAAATTGGATTCTTTGAAGGAATCCTCACCTAACCTTTCATTTGCCCAATCATTTTCTATCAACAATATTCTTTTAATATATATTTAAAATTAGAAAAAAAAAAAAAAAAAGTTGTTTACTAGCAGCTATCATCCCTATCCTTTTTTGTAGCCTACATGAATAATAAAAATAAAAATAAAAATGATCTCTCCGTCTCATCAGTAAGTATCCATTTTTTTTTTATACATAATTTTAAAAATATTAATATTATATTGAGATATAGTAGGAATAAAGTAGAAATGACTAAAATAATCTTATTAGTATGCGTGATATAAAAATAATGACATTTGTGTAATATATTGTAAGTTGTAAGGGTATTTGTAATGTTAGGTAGATAGTACAGTTACTAAAAAATGAAATGAATACTTTATTATGGAACGGACTAAAATGAAAAAATTGATATTTTATTATAGGACGGAGGGAGTATTTCGATTTTGTTCATCTTTGTACTCTTAGACGTATAAGTATTTTTAATTTTATATAAAAAAAATTATATTAGTAATATAAAAGAAAATCCGTTTAATTAGAAATTTTTAATAGATAAAATATACTCTCTCTGTTCTGATACAATAGTTTTGTTTATCATTTTTGTCCGTCTCAAAACAATAGTTTTATTTTCATAAATAATCATATCACTATAAAACTACTATTACTTTTTCATTATTATTACACAATTACCACTACTTTTTACACTAATACACCCCACTGCTTGGGAGCTTACGGTTTCATGTTCTATTTCACTCCCCGATGGGGGCTCTTTTCACCCTTCCCTCACGGTAGTCACAAGGGCAAAAAAGTCTTTTGCACGTACTTTTTACCCAATATAATTCTGAGACGGACGGAGTATTATATATTTATTATATTAATATATGTTTAAAATAATATGTACGAAGGATCGATTCAGCTAAGTGAACAGACTCTTTATAAATAACAAATTGAGCATCCTTATATATATATATATATATATAGTATTTTTTTTTTTCTTTTATAAAAACAATACATCAAAATCATTTCTATTTAAAGTTTCAACGTAAGGCCTTGTTTCGGTTTTGAATTGTGAATTTGAGTTTTAAATAATAAAATTTTAAATTAAAATAATTATTTGATTTAATATAAATATATTAAAATTTTAAATATAAAATTAATTTTTTAATATAATATAAAAATAAAATATAAATATTCATTTGACATGTTCGATGATTTTCTTTCAAAAAAATAATAAGAATATTGAAAATCATTGAAACAAACCCACGTATTAGTGTAGTTAATAATTTAAATGAAAAAAAAAAGTTTAGTAAAAATAACTTTTTATTGTCTACTAAAATTTAGTAAAATTTTATTATTTTTATTTAACAAATAATAACAATATTTTCATTATTTTTTCTACTTTATTAATTTTTAAATAAAATTTTTATAAAGTAGAAGGTCAACCTATGTCCAACAAACTCAAAACACCACAGAAACAATCCTAGAAGACATGGCATGACGGTTTAGAAATTGGATATGTGACCATGAAATCATGGGTTCAAACCCCCGACATTTGGCAGGGTATTATGTTCGACAGAAAATACATATTCATAAATAAATAAAAAGAACACTAGAAAACCATACATTCATCAAATTGATTCAATGACAGGCCCAATATATAATCTGGTACAAAATGTACAAGAACAATTTGGGAGTAGTGAAGGCAAAAAGGCAAGCCTCCTATTATTATTATTATGCATCTTAAGAGGTCTTTTATGTAATAAAATAAAAAAGCCTCAAAAAGCAGTCACTACTTGAAGGCTTTTTTAGGGCACAACAGAAACAACACACACCACAGTAGTGTAGTTCTCGTTACATTACATCACATGAAAATATTTTACAAACACATAATAAGGAGGACGACAGGCACTCTCCAGGCCATTGCTATTAACTTGCCTGACTTTCTTCGTTCGGGTCGGGTCCGGGTCTGGGTCCTTACATCGTCGGTCGCACGTTGAGACGGGATGCGAGCTTCTGTCCGAACGACCTGTCGGCCTGGCGCGAAAAGAACGAAAATTCGTTACAATTCGTGATATCATATCAAATGGTTACAACACTCGGAATTACGGAAGAGGATGCCGGAAAGTTACCTGGGTCCAGTACGAAACCCAAATGCTGCGGATCTCCAGCGTGAGTCGAGGGTCGGATAGAGCGTCGACCCAACGACGGAGGAACCTCTCCTGCCTGTCGGGCGCCCATGAACGGTATCGATCCCCGGCCTGCCTGAAGTTGTCCTCTTTCTCAATCACAGCCTGTTCGACCATCACATTGATCAATCAATTCGATATTACAGTGTTAAATGACCATCTCACCAAAAAAAAAAATTAAATTTAAAAAGATAGATATTATTTATTTTTTTATTATAGAATCAACCAACACGCAAGTTAAATGATTGTCTTACAAACTTTTAAGTGAGATGGTCATTTAATTTATTTATCCATCTTATACATGAAAGGAGTTATCGGTTGACTCTTTAATAAATAAATAATGCGTTAGAAATTTAAAATTTTAAATGAAATAGTCATTTGAAATACGCTTCGCAACATACCTTCGTACGCCTTCCGGTGATCAACCAATCAGGGATTGGGACTTTCTCCGATTCGCGAACGGGATCATACCTCGATGGGAAATAGTCCACCTATAAAGGACGGCATCGAAGCTGGATTAGCTATCTCCGATACAACATACCAAACACGGCGAGCAATTCAACAAAGCGAAAAAAACCAAACCTCCTCGTCGCGGTGCATGAAGTTCATGAACCCGTCGTAGTGATTGTTGTGGTAAGGACATTTCGGGGCGTTGACGGGGAGCATTTGATAGTTCGTCCCGAGACGGTGTCTCTGGGTGTCGGCGTAGGCGAAAGTCCTCATCTGGAGCATCTTGTCGTTGGAGAAGTAGATGCCGGGCGGGACGTTGTGCGGGGAGAAGGCGAGCATTTCATTCTCGGCAAAGAAGTTGTCGACGTTCTTGTTCAACACCATCCGGCCGACGGGCATGAGCGGGATGATGTCCTCCGGCCAAATCTTGGTCATATCGAGGGGGTCGAAATCGAACCTGTCCTCGAGCTCGGGCTCCATGATCTGGAAGTAGAGCTTCCACTCGGGGAAGTTGCCGGCGGCGATGGAATCATAGAGGTCCTTGGTGGCGTGGCTGTGGTTGGTTCCGCCGATGCGGACGGCCTCGTCGTCCATGAGACTCTTGACGCCGCAGGTGGGCTTCCAGTGGAACTTGACGTAGACGACTTTGCCGGACTTGTTGATGAGGGTGAAGGTGTGGACGCCGAAGCCTTCCATGTGGCGGTAGTCCTGAGGGATGCCAACATCGTCGTAGAACCAGGCGAAGGTGAGGAGGCTTTCCGGGAAGTGGGAGCAGAAGTCCAGGATTCGCCAGTTCTCTTGGATGTGGGACTTGGGGTTCGGCTTGAAGGCGTGGATCACGTCCGGGAACTTCATCGCGTCGCGGATGAAGAACACCGGGAAGTTGTTACCTACAATGTCAAAGTTCCCCTGCGTTCACCAAGGCAAAATAACAAATTATTTATGTACAAATAAATAACTATTAACTGAACAAGCATGAATTAGCTGCTAATCCGATCAAATCAAAATAGTGCTGATTTGACAAATCTAACAAATGTTATAAAGTGATCAACATATATTTATAATACAATATACTTCTTCTACCCCAACACAATAGTCTTGTTTACTATTTTTGTCCGTTCTAAAACAATAGTTTTATTTTTATAAACAATCATATCTACCATAAAATCACCTATGTTTTTCCGTTATTATTACACAAATATCACTATTTTCTACACTAATATACTTATAAGGACAAAAAAGTATTTTATCCGTATTTTTTTACCAAACTACTAATATAATGTCAATATTTTTAAAATCTTCTATTCAACATAACTAAGACTATAATTCAAAAATGGAAGAAATATATCATATTAAAACTTAACATATGTTATTTTATAACCCAAACATATATTAAGATATGTGTAAACAGGTCACTGATTACCGTGCTAAACTTGGCAGTATCTGATCCTAAATAACCGAACAATATAAGCATTTCTATTCAAATAAATAAAAATCTAGAATGCATTTCGTCTATTCAATCTCAAACCATAATCGCAATCACAAATTTTAATTTGCTCACAGATTCAAATAACAGTCGTCACATTTATCTTGGTGTTGATTAATTTCACGCCCAAAATACTGAAAATCTATTATTGCTTGTACGTAAACCCTAGAAATTCCAACTTCAAAAACGCCTAAATCATTTCAATGGCAGACGAAGGCGGTTACTAGATTGAAAAAGCAACGGAAAACACGAAGAAACTAATTACCTCTCGGGTGTAAAATTTGGTGGCGAATCCTCGAGGATCCCTGAGGGTTTCGGGGCTGCCGCGCTCGTGGATGACGGTGGAGAATCGGACGATGACCGGAGTCTGCACGCCAGGGGCTCGGAGGAAGTCGGCACAGGTGAGGTGCGAAACATCGTGAGTCACCTCGAAAAATCCTTTCGCGGTGACTCCCCTCGCGTGGACAACACGCTCCGGGATCCTCTCGCGAGTGAAATTCTGGAGCTTCTCGATCAGATGGTAGTCTTCGAGCAGGATTGGGCCTGTAATATTGCCAAACAATTTGGATTGAGAAAACGATGCGTGATTGATTATGTACGGAGGATCTCCATGAAAGGAGTCCGTACTGCTGCAATCTACGTGCAACTTGATGTTGACGAATAGCGTATTTTCGGGGAAGCCCCTGGAGTTACAATATTAACAAAATAGTGCGTATTGAACCTATTATTATCAATTGCTCACTGAACTTTTCGTTATTTACAAATAAGAATGGGCACGGTCGGATAATGGAATTTACATATACTCATTAGGTCTCATATCTATATATTTATTTGTTTTTTACACAAAATTTTAAAAATATTAATATTATATTAAAATGTAGTAGAAATAAATGTAAAAACCTAAACTAATATTATTAGTATTATATGATATAAAAGTAATAATATTTATGTAATATATAAAAAAATTAAAGGATATTTGTAATATTAGATGGATAATACAATTACTAAAAAAGAAATAAATATTTTACTATAAAATTGATCAAAATAAAAAAATAGATAGATTGTTAAGAGTTTAAAATATATATATATTGATACTGTAATAATTCTAAAAAATTAAAATAAAAACATTTAATTATTATTTGGATCCAAAATTGAGTTTTTTTATCTTGTCTGTTCGTTGAACGTTAAACCCACTGGTTTAGAATAAAGCTCAAAAAACTCGCTCAATTTGTCGTAATTTTAATAATCAGAAGTTAAAAATATAAAATTTAGTCCCTGGAAAACAGTACTTTACAAATTCGTCCCAAGGACATTATCGTCACAATAGATTTTTGTCCACATGGGCAAACATGTAATTTAATACCCAAGCGAAATCCCTCGCTTTCGCATAATAAAAACACAAAGCAACGACAAATCTCTAGATCCTCCCCTGATACAAATAAGTAGTAAAATAACTAAAGAGTGATTGCTTAAGAGTTATTACTACTTTCGGTCGCTCTGAATGTGCTCGTTTATTATTATTATTTTAGTGTAAAAATATTAATATCGGATGTCTCTAAGTTCACATGTATCTTTTACATCATTGTACATAAAATTAAAAATATTTTTATATTTGTAGAATTTTTTGAACAAATATTCTTCTATTAGTATTATAAGACACTGATAAAAATATTTTTGCAATTTTTTTCTAATTCGGACAACGTTTTGATATAATAATAATTATTCAAAAATTAACACCCAAAAAATAAATTAGACCCTTAAAGCCGGATAAAAATAATATATTTTAATTATAATTGGTAATAATTTTTTTTATAAGTTTTAATATTTTATATATATCTTTACCATTCTACATATCACAAATTCACAACAAGATCTCCTTAAACTTTTTAAAATAAAAAAATTTTAAAAAAAAAATCAACTTTTTTTATCTTTCTACTTGACACAATTAGTTTTACACATTAAATATTGTTATTCTTTAATTTCTATGTAAAAAAAAAAAAGAAAAATTTTCTCCTATTTTAAAAATAATCTGAAAATAACATCCAAAAATTGTTTTATACAATACTCCTTACCTTCCCAATAACTATACATTTATTTTACTCATAAGCTAAACTATTAAATTTATCTATAGTTTATTTTTATTAAAAAATATTCATATATAATTTTATTATTCTATTTTAATAAATAATAATTTTTATTTTTATTTTTCTATTTATTTTATTATTTTTATTAATTTCATAATAAATTTTACATTCTTTTACTAAATAATAATTATTTTATAATTAATTTTTTTTTTATTTTTCTATTTATTTTATTACTTTCTATTAACTTCATAATAAATTTTATATAATACTACCATTTTACTTTTTTTTATTTATACTACTTTTACATTTAAATTCATTATTTATTAGTGTTCGACATATCTGCATAAATATTCCGGACAGAATTGAGTAATTTTTAGAAAACAAAATATATATATATATTGAAAATTATTTGGTGCAAAAATAACTCAAACATAAAATAACACTCTAATAAATCCACAGTGAAAAATACCTCTGGTTCCGACGGTTAAGGAGCTGTTGTCATTCCACACTGGCTGTCCGCCGTTGGTCGTCAAGTAAGTCGTATTGAACGAACTGGACGGGCGGTACTGCACCAAAAAACATACGTACGTACACGTCACTGTCAAATCCCCAAATCGCTACGAACAACAACTGTTTGTACGTATCTCTACGTTGCATTCCATACCAAATTTATACGACTCTCCAATTTCAGTTTATTTTATATATACAGAAAAATACGATCGTGCTTTGTCAGTTTGCACAAATGTGTTTACATCAGAAATTCATAAGAATTCCATTCTCATATTTCTGTATTTGGCACAGCAAAGTTAAATCCATCGCCAGAAATCGACAATCGGCAAATAAACGATTAAATACAAAAATCATCCTTCCATTTCAGCCTAACTATCATGATTTCCGTTTAAATCATAAATAGAAGAACTGTAGAACATAAACGAGTTGAAAAATGAATCGGAAAATGAAAATTGAGTAGCTCACGTACCTTTGATGGATCCATGGAAGATGTTTTTGCGTGGGAGAGAAAATTGGGGGTAACTGCTTCTCGGAGTGTGGATGGCAGACGAATGCAGGGGTTTCATATATAGGGGCATTAATGCTCCGGGTCGGGTCCAGTCCGGTCCGGTCCATTTCGAATTCGTGACTCGATTAGGAAACGGGTCGTGCTAATGCGCACTGTTATTGATATGTTTTAGATATTATCATTAAAATACTATTAATTACATTTTGTAATAATAAAATAATATATAATTCATACTATATCTAAAATGTAGCGGTGGATAGATGTTAGATAATTCAGCAACTTGGAAGCTATTAATGTTCCACGTGTAATAATGGGTGGGTTTGTTATGTTGGGGTTTTGGGTTTTAAGTTGGGATTTGAATAGTAAAAATTTTGAATTTGAATTTGACAAATAAGGTGTTTTATGCACATTAACACGAGCGATTTTATATTTTCTCTGTTCGCTTCTGAGAGTCATATTTATATTTTATGTCATTATACTTAACATTAAAAATATTATTGTATTTGTATAATTTTTTTGTACAAATATCCTTTTATTAGTATTATAAGACACCAATGAAAGTATTTTATATATTTTTTTTTTAATTTGTACTACATTTTGATATAATAATCAATATTTAAAGATATCGAACATATAAAAAAATAAATGAGACCTTTAGAGCCGGACAGAAACAGTATAATTTATCCTACTTTGTTATTTAAATATATACTCATATTTTTAGGCATAAGTTTTATTGTGATTAGTAATAATTGATATTTTATAATAAAAATACAAAAAAGATAGATAAACATATACATTTTTAAGACCTAGAATTGTTGTTGCATATTCTGCTCGGTAACAGAAAAAAAAACGAGTACAAAATTTGCATAACAAGAAGAACTATTTTGGCACACAATAATATTTAAAAATAATAAAAATAAATATTATAATTACATACTTTTACCATTATCAATAATCAACAATCAAAATTTCAAAATTAACACAATTATTTATTTATTTATTACTCTATTCGTCTCACATACCGTGTCTGCTATACTGTAGACACGGTATTTTAGGAGTGGTGTAATTAGTAGATAATTAAGAATGTATTAGTAAAAATAATTATCCTATAATATAAATAATTATAAATTAAGATTAACATAACTAATTAGTTTAATTAAAATTAAAAAATAATAATAAATTAAAAAGTTTAAAATGAGATTAAAGTGTATAATCATTTTTCAAAAAAAAGAAAGTGACATGATATGTGGGACGGACAGAAACGGCAACATGGACATGGTATGTGGGACGGAGAGAGTATTATTTATGGGCAAAATTGTTTATAATTCTCTTGTGGTTTCTAAACTCAGTGTAAATCTTCCCTCTACTTTAAAAATTACATGACGTTGTCTTATACTTTAAAAAATATTGTATAAAACCACTATGTGGTTTCGGAACTTACCATAAATCTCCACTTTACTTTAAAAAATTGCTTGACGCTCCCTTATACTTTCAAAAATATTGTTTGAAACCCTCTGTCATGCAAAACATATAGATAAAAAATCATATTTTCATCACATGAAGAAAGTTTCATAGCGGTAGGATTTCGTGTAACGTTTTTTAAAATATAAAGAAGTTACCATGCAATTTTTAAAGTATAGAGAAATTTTATGCTGAATTTTAAAACCACATATGAGTTATAAGCAATTTTACCTTATTTATGTAAAACACTAGCTTATTGTTTTTCTTAAAAAAAATTAATGCATAATATTCTCGTTCAAACTGAAGGTATTGCTCTTATTTTCGTAATTTTCACTCAAAATATCTTTTCTAACTTGCTAACTAGAGCATACACTCTAGAAAAAAAACATTATTATGATACCTAAGAGGGAGGGCTTGCTATAAGATGCTATAAGATACGGTATGGTACTAAACTTTTTTCTATTACAATAAAAATAGTTATACATTAATACTAAAATTATTTTAATTTTTATATAAATTACAAATACATTATTATAAATATAATTAAGTATACATAAAATACATAAGAGAAAAACGGCTAAAAACAATTTGACACACTTTCATTGAGTAATAAAATATTACTCCATCTTCTACGGTTACATTTACGTTTTGCGTCATTGTACTTAATATTAAAAATATTTTTATATTTGTATAATTTTTTGTACAAATGTCCTTCTACTGGTATTATAAAAAACTAATTGAAGTATTTTTTGCAATTTTTTCTTAATTTATATTACGTTTTAATATGATAATTAATATTCAAAGATCAATACGTAAAAAATAAATAAAACCCTTAGAGTGAAATGGAAAAACTATATTATTTTAACAAATACTACTATTTATTATTATTTTTTTTTAAAAAAAAAAGAAAAAAGAAAGACACGCACACATCGTATATAAACAAATCCTTGATTTTTATTGATTTATATTAATCTATTTCATTCATATATAGTATAGTGCTAAGCTACCTTTGCTTGAAAGAATGATTGAATGCGATGTGATTATATAAATAGGGAAATTTTAGGCCTACAAAATTATAGCATTATTTTATATATATCAATCAGTATTTTTTTATAATTTAAAATATATTTTTTCGTTCTAAATATAATACTCCATTCGTCCCATAATTAAATATTCATTTTTTTAAGTAGTTTTAGAAATATCAGTATTATATTTGAATGTAGTAGAAATAAAGTAAAAATGACTAAAATAACCTTATTAGTATGTGTGGTATAAAGGTAATGACATTTGCGTAATATATTGTAAATTGTAAATATATTTCTAATGTTAGGTAGACAGTACAATTACTAAAAAAAATAAATACTTTGTTATGAGACGGATTAAAATGAAAAAAATAAATATTTTATTATTGGACAGGGGAGTACTATATTAATATTAATTATACTTAACCAGACACCACTTTAAAATAGTTAGGTTTCTGTTTCAGGTTTGTGTTTGCTTTTAATTGTGTTTTTGTTTCCATTTTAAATTTATTTAATATTTTTTTAATAAAAAATAATAGTATATTTTTATTTTACTATAACACATAATTTTATCATTGTTTGTTGTCTCGTGATAATAAGGTATACATTTTCTTTTTGTAGTAAATTTGATCACACTTCATATTATAAATATTTTAAATATATATTTATTTATATCAATACCATTACGTCAAATTAAAATATAACTGCCAAAAAAGTTTTTACACAATAAAATTTCATCAATTACTGTATAAATACTATTATTTTTTAATTTCTGTATAAAAAATATATATACTTTGTGTGAATGGAGTATATTTTTATAGAAAATATTATCATCAGTTACCATCTAAATACTATTATTTTAAAGAGTTAGATAGTAAAATAATTTAAAAAAAAAAAAGAAAAACTCAAAGAAAATAAAGGGTTTGTGTACTTGGAATTTTTTCAATATGCAATGTATTTATAAAAATATATATTATTTTATATCACAAAATATCACGTTTAAATTATTGTTCAAATTAAAACTCAAAATTACATAAACGAACATAAGTAAACAAGCTCAAAGAATTATCTTGAAAATATTTATAAATTACTGTGAAATATTTTTATGATTGATAAATATTTGATATGTATTTAAAATTTTATTTACAACTTATTGTTTATTTTCAGTTTTAGTATATAAAAATAAATTAAAGTATATTTTTTAGTCTATTTTATTTCTAAAAAAATATAAAATCAAACATCTATATTTATTTATTATATTATATTAAAATTTATTTTTACATTTAGGATGTGTTTGTTTGGGAGTTTGGATTTTGAGTTGGGATTTGAATAGTAAAAATTTTGAATTTAAATTGTTGTATGGTGTGCTATAAATAGGTGTTGATGTAATGTTTTGAATGTAAAATTGATTTTTAGTATAATATAAAAAATGAAAAATAAGTGTTTGATTTGATGTTTTTGGGAGAAAAAAATTGGATGAATAGTGTAAATCTAATCCAATCCCCCAAACAAACACACCCTTAAAATATCATATCGATACATATTCAAATCAAACTCAAAATCAAAACCCCACAAATAAAGACACCCAACATGACGACAACTTGTAGAATTAAAATACGAACTCACAAACATACGAAATAAAATACACAGATGGCTAAAAATACGTATAAAGTATTTATATTATAAATTTAAATAAAAATAAATATTCAATGTAATAGATTTTTTAATTTTCTTTTAGCAATTTGTATGAGACTGAAATAGTTTTCAAAACATAAGCAAGAAATCCCATTTATAACATATTTTATTGATAGAAATAAATAAATAAATAAATTGGTGAGTTGGGACAAGTAAGTCCAATCGAAATAAATTCCGTGACTCCGCTATATTTTAGAAATGTATTTACTTTGTCAGCATATATATATATATATAGATATAAATACTTTTATTAATTTTTATTAAAAATATAGTTTGAATATATTGCCTAAAATAAAAATTATAGTTGATTATACAATCATCATAATATAAATAAAAATATATATTTTTTTTATGTGAAGTAAAAAAAATTGTATCGATAATGTAAAAGTAATATTTTATATTGAATATTAATTTTTTATAAAAAAAATAAAAATGTATATATTATATATATTGAAATTTGTATTAGTAAAAAAATAGATTGTGCAATTTTTCAAATGATAAAATTTAATTAAGATATACTCTCTTTATCCAGCTACAAAGTATACATATTTTTATTTTGGGATGTTCAATTACAAAGTAATCATTTCATTAAATACCCTATATTTTTTTACAAATACTCTTATTTTACATCACATTATTACTTTTATACTAAAAAAGTAAAGACAAAAATGTCATTACACTATTTTTTTATTACTTTTATACTAAAAAAGTAAAGACAAAAATGTCATTACACTATTTTTATCTATCTACTATAATTAAAATATTATTATTTTTTAAACTCCGAACTAAAAATAAATGTATACTTATTGTTTGGTCAAAGGGATTATTAGATGCAATAGAGCCTACTAACTATGCAATTTATTACTCTATCGGTCCTATTTTTTTTTTGTCTTGTTTACGTAAATACGAAAATTTAGGCAAAATATAATTAGTAAGT